CCCCCTCCCCCTCCCCCTCCCGCCGCTTCCGCTCCCGACGCTCCCGCATCGCACGCACATAGCCCTCCCGGAAACTCGCAGGCGGCACATATTCCACCTCCTCCCCAATGTACCCCGGAAACCTACGCGTCTCCTCCTCGTCCTCCTCATCCTCGTCCACATGCCGCCACCCCGGGCCCAGCACCACCGACTCCTCTACCGCTCCCCGATAGAATAGCATTGCTAGCGGTCGTCTCTTGTTGCGCTCCGCGTGCGCAGCCAGGTACGTCGCCTGCTCGCAAACCTTCCCCGCCCGACCACCCGTCACCGGCGGCGCATCCATCCCCAGCGTCGCAAGCGCCAGCTTCCGTGCCACATCTGTCTTCCTCACCACCGCCACCGTCTTCTTCGCTTCCGACTTCACCTCCTCCTCATCTCCGTCCAGCCCTCTCACGTATGCTGGCCATACCCGGAACGTGTTCAAAATCGGCCGCTTCTCGCTCTCGGGCAACGGTAGCATCTGTGGCCCCGTCTTCGGCGACATATATAGCCAATCTTCCTCGTCTCCCCCTGCCTCCCCCTCCACATACTCCTTCTCCGCCGTCCTCTTCCGCAAGATCCCGCGTGGAAACCGCCGCGGCGACGCCCCCGACCGCAGACGACTCCCGGATGCGCGCTCCCGCCGAGCCTTGGCCTCCTCCGGCGTCAGCAGCTCCCCGGACGCAATGTCCAGGTGCTCCTTCGCCTCCAAGAACGACACCTCGTAGTCGCCCTCGTTCAGCTTGTACGCTCGCCGCTTCGCCCCCGGCTCGAAAAAGTCCGCATCCTCCAGGTCGTCCCGCTTGCGCTTCAGCAACCCCTTCCCCACTTCGCGGCCCTCCCGCCCCCCCGTCCGTCTCAGCGCGACAAAGTTCACGTTGTGCCGATCTCCGCACCCGTACGCCAGGCCCATAGCCCGGCACTCCGCCTCGTTCTTCTCTCGGATGTACAGCAACCGCTCGACGCTCAGCCGGTTCTCCGTCGGCGGGTGAGGCACGTAGTATCCCCGCCGCCCATGGTACGGCACATCCACGAAATCCCGTACTTTGATTTCACGTGTGGTGCCCGAAACAGTTGTCGCACTCGCCAATAGTCCACCTGGGGCAGGGGAAATCGTAGCCGATCGACGCGGGTATGGGTGACTAGGCAGCGGGACTCGGTCTGTCAAAAAATCCCGGACTTTGGGCGGACGCGGCTCATGGGCAGACTTAGTGGCAGGTGAAAGTGTTACTCCTTCACACACCGACCTACTCTCTTTGCGGTATGGGTTCGATTCCAGGCGTGGCCATGTCTCCTTGAGAGCCGGGTCATGTGGCCTCGCCTCGGGCCGAGGTCGTTTCGCGGGCACCGGTGACTCTGAGAGGTCACAGCCTTTCCGCTTGCCCAGACCTGTGTAGGTGTCGGTGTCGGTAGATGGGCTCTCGACCCGTTCGGCCTCCAATCGCTCGACCAGGCTTTGAAATTTGCGCACCGCAGCCTCCAGTTGCTCTGGGGTCTGTCCTGGAACGACAAAGCGACGCGGCACGTCTGGCGCTTGGACCCACTGCGCATTCCAGACATTGCGCACTACAGGCGGTACAGCCAGGTCGTCCGGATGCGGTAATTCCTCGGGCTCGATCTCGCCGCGGTACTGGCCTTTCTGCTTCAGCTTCCACTTTCTAACGCGCTCGTGGATCTTCTTCAGCCTTGCTTTTTCACGCTGGACCTTCGTCCACTCTCGCGCGCGGCTGCCATCATAGTCAAGCTTGAACATGACCCTCCGCCGCTCCATCTCAAATTCGAAATCAGTAGCCTGCTGAAGCCCAAGATCAGAGTTGGCCCGACGAGCACGACTCTCCTGGAAGTCAATCAGGCTGACGCGCCCGTCCGCGCCAATGATCATGTGGCGCAGCTCTGCATCGCCGTGCAGGACACCGCGCTTGTGTATCTTCGCATACGCACGTAATACGAGCTCTTTCAACACGAGAGGCATGTCCGGAGATGCCTCAATCCAGAATGACTCGTGTGGGAGCTCCATCGACAGGTTGATGCCGATGGGATCGACGTGAACGCCGATGAGGGAGGGGATCACATCACCTTGAAGATCGCGCAAGTATTTTGAGGATTTGAACAGAGCAAGCTACACAACCAAGCGAAGATTAAGAACTGTCAATTCAGTCAAAGCATCTCCTTCGGCATACCTCTGAGTAAAATCCTCGCCACTGCATTCGCTTCCTTAACTGCCAACTAGGACCCAATCAATACGTCGATCCTATGGCAACGCCACACACGGTGCTGCTCACCATCTGCTGATATACGTAACAGAATTCTCGCCAAAGTCTCCTCTCTTGACCGCGGCGGAACACATGGCGCCGGCTGGTGACACGCCACGCGTAAGGAAACCCCGGGTGCGTGATAGAAACACGCGCACTCACCGCCGAGCTCGAGCAAGACGTCGACGTTGCGGACGGGCAGCTGCGACGCCCACGCCCATTTGCCAAAGGGCTCGTACAGCTGCTTGCACAAGACTCGTTTTGGCACCTCCTTCGTGAGCTCGTCCGCGGCTTCTTCGTCGGAGGAATCCTCTGCTTCAGATGGGAGCTGCTCCTGCGCGATGGAATCAGAGTCGCCTTCCGATGCCGCAGTGCGCCTGCGCGGTCGCCCAAGGAAGGAGAAGAACGACTTGTGGCGCGGTGGTGGCGGGGGCGGTGGTGGAATGCAGTCGGTCTTCTCCGGGACAGGTGGGACGTACGGAGAGGTGAGTGTCTCGTAGAACGTAGACAGCCGAGTAGGTACAGATACAGGTGGCTCTGGAGGTTTGTCGTGAACGTTGAAAGTATAGGTAGTTGTCCATATCGAATTCAAGCCTTCCGGCACGAGTGGCTCTGCAGGCTCGGTGGCCGGCTTGTCGGTTTGCTTGTCGGATGGTCGGTTGGTTCGCTTGCCAAGATATATACGGCGAAACATCCTGGGAGACGAAATAGAGACGACGCGAGGGTGTCAAGAGAAGGGGGGAAAGTGCAGTGGCGTGCGGAGTGGCCATGCTCTTATATGCGCGTGTCCTTGTTCGTGTGCTTTGACCAACGCTAAGCGACGGCCACTGGCACAGGCTCACAACAACTTCCGCATTGGGAGCCTGCCACAGTCAGGTGACTCTCGCGCCTGTGGCTGTCGACTGTCGGAGAATCTCCGGAGATCCATCGTTGAGGCTTTCGAATCGTAGCCGCGGCGCCATTTCTAGACATTAGGTTGCATACTCGTTGTGTACAGTGTACTATCGATACGTGCATTTACTACACAAATTGGCTTTTATTCAACCGCCCTTTCCTCTTCCCACAGCTAAATAATGTAATTATCCAAAGTTAATTCGGCAATGAATTAAGAACGGAATTGAAATCTACCTCAAAAAATCGACGTCGATCTCCAACCTTAACTCCACGACAGCTTGTAAGATCTAGCTTTTGCAGCCTGGGGCAAGCGTCGACTATGGAGAACAAGCCAGGAGCTGCAATTTCCATGTACATCAGCACTCTTGTGATCAGAAAATTTACACTCACCTGTGAATCGCGTTCCGCCAACGGCAAGAGATTCCAGGTGAGGACATTGAGATATGAAAGACGCCGCCTCATCCCCTACAGCAGTGTTATTCAACACCAGAATCTGTAGCGACGCAGGATTCTCTTCAGGAGTCTGCGGGAGCAGCCCTTCCAGATCAGACGACCGAAGGCCCGTGAGATTCGACAAGTTCAAGACCTAGTCCTATTATCCATATCTGAAAGGGGAGACGCGGCTCCTTGTAACACCCACCTTGCACCTTCTCCCTATACGACGTATAAAGTCAGCTAGAGCGCTATTCCGACTGCCAGTAATCCCAAGCTTCGTGTTTCCGACCAAGTTGATGCTATCGAGCAGCGGATATTGTTCCAAAACGTCAGTGAGGTCGCGTAGTGTCTGATCAGTCATGCTCATGGCCGAGGAGTTCGAAATGGTCGCGGCGGATCCTTGTCCCCCGCCGAGCATGGCGATATTGAGGCATTTTAGTTCCAGACGATCCGAAACGGAATCGATCAACTCGCGACTGGATATCTTGGTGGATGTCAGTGCCAGCTTTTCCAGTGACTTGCCTGCGACGAGACCTGAGGGGTGTCGGACAAGTGTAAACGATAGGTCTAATCGCCTGAGGTTGGGGCAAATCGCGAAGAAGGGAGCCAGAGCAGAATCACTGAGTGCTGTTTGGCGGAGCTTCAGGGACCGCAACTTCGTGAGCTTAAAGTCTTTGATAGCAGAGATGGGTGCCCATAATTTAGCAAACGCTGCGTCAGTCTGCAAAAAATAATTGCATGAATGGACGAATGCGAAAGATGTAGGAATAAAGTGCAACAAACCCAATTTGGAACACCGGCGATTTTCAATACCTCCAGGTGTCTGCAACTGGTGAGAACAGGCACCAGAGAAATCGGTGTTACGGACGTATAATTGAGGTTGAGGACAGTGAGCTGCGAACAGGACTTTGCAATCGCGTCGGCGGTCGACTGTCCAACTTTTGTGCAACCGCTGTCAACGTTACTCAATGAAGGCTCATGGTTGGAGGAAGTACCTTCCTACCGCAGAATCAGAGTTTTGAGTGACGGCAACTTCAAAATGACAGACGCGAGAAATTTATCGGTCTCCTTTGAAAAGTCGCTCAATTCGAGCATAGATAGACTGGCGTGGATAGGAGAGTCGCGAACGGCTGCGAGGGTTTGCTTGTTGACACCAGGTAGGTCGCCATCGAACGCGACAGAGGTGCCGCGCAAGAAGTACTAGAAAATAGGATGAGCGTGTCAGCTGTCAATGTAGAGCAAGATGCTTGCTGCAGTGATGAAGCCATGGTTGAGGATGCTAGGGCAAGAAGCCCTGAGGGCGAGGAATACCCTTGACGCTAGAGCGTCAGGTAGGGCCTTGAGCCAGAATCGAACATGGTCCCAAAGGTTCTTGTCTGCAGAAAGACGTTGGAGATTCTCCGCGAAGATGCGGGTGGAGAGAGAGGCAAGAGTGGGGATGCGATGGGAGGGGAGGGATCTGGTGGAAAGTGCAGAGGGGGAGGGAGCCTGAACCTGAGCCTGGGGAGTGGGGACATCGTCGTCGACAGTGCGATGGCCGTGTGTCTTTCTCCTCTTTGCTGGGCGCGACTCCGCGTCGAGGGTGGCGGGCGGAGCTCTGAGTTTCTTGCTCATCACGTTCGAAAGGAGACAGCAGCCTCCAGATCTGGATCGACGCCGATCGGCTGTCTACTTCAAGTTTGATTACTAAGTAGTACGGGAGTCAATATTGGCGACATTGTTCGTCCGCCTCTCGCTCTGCCGAACTTACTCACTGAGTGATCACAGTGTGCACGGCCGCGGACTCAGGGATGTCGATTCAACGTATTCAAATCTCACATGGCCTCCGAAGAATGCATTTACGCATGCAACATGATACCCCGAAGCTGCAGCGCTGTGACACAGCCTGAGTGTCCTGATGAGTAACAGCGCGTAGCCATTGCTCTGGGACTCATGAGTCTTGCTAGAAGCTATTGGATTTTTTTTCTTTCTTTTCCTGACTCCTTTCATTGCGCGTACGCCATAATTGGCTCCACATGACCAGTGGCACGGTGTTTGAATTGTGAACACAATTTTTTTTAGAAAAAAAAAAGTATCTTTTTTATCGTCCGCGGGTGCCTGACCCCATATCGAAGGTAACTTGGGTACAGCATATTCGTAAGGCTGTGATGGATACGATCGTGGTAAAAGCATTCGATGTGGGTATTGCAAAGTATCAATTCCACATCCAGAAAATCGCGATCAGACATGCCAGCGGCGCGACCACAATCCTCCATACAACCCGCTCCACCTTGTCCGCTCTATGATCCTGTTTTCTCCTGCCAACAAATGACGCCAAAGTAATTGGCATTCGTACGAGAGCTTGCACAAGGCTAAAGGGTGGCCGGAACGAGTACGGTTCCGCATATGTCAACACCAAGCGAATGAACACGCTGCGCGCCTCCAGACCGATGGTCTCTGAGTACTGATCCCAAGGACTCGGTGGAATTTTTGACAGTAGTGCGGGGTACACCAATACCAGCATCACAAGAGAACATAGAAGTAGTATGAGTAGCACGGAAATAAGGATCAGGAATAGTACACGAGACTCTATGGGTGCAGGGACGAGGCTGCCTATGGTAAGACCCTGCAGGAAGACGTCCGATAGCGAAGTGGACAAGAGAAACAAGGAGACCAGCAAGGCAGGCAGGAAGAATACGACCACTGGTGCGAACACGCGGGAGACCCCATGCCAGACCAACACGGCCAGGGGAAGTATTCTGGATAATGGTAGCAAGTAAAGCGGGCTGGGATGTTGAGGAAGGTGCAGTCCGACGACGTTCCACGCGAAGGCAAATAATAGCACGCCATATGCGAAGTCGTTGGGAGATGGGGAGTACGGGAGATGGGACAGAAAAGCAAGTAGGACCAAGACAGACGGAACGAGTTTACCGGATGGTGGTTGGAAAAGAGTAGATACCGTGTAGACAATGAGAAGGATTTCTTGAACATCTGGGGCCGAACGCTCCTGAATACTATGGGAATATCCAGTCCGCGGAAATACCAGAAAATATGCAAATAAAACAAGATAGCCCATGTAGAAGAGCAAGTCAACGGCATGTAGCACTCTATATCACCGATATATGTAAACTCGGGACTTAACACAGACAGGGATGCTTACCTAGGGGTGCACAAAACATCTAGCCTGCCTAGTGATCGCGCAATGAACGACGACCTATGATTCGTGGTACTACGACCGTGTGCCCATGTCTGAAAGATACTGCGAAGTACGATGTCATTTGCCAAAAAATCATGCGGCATCACATCAAGCTGGTGGATAAATTCTATAACTGTCATAGTGATTGGTGGCGAAGCTAGGCTATGAAGCATGATAAAACATACCTCGCTGCGCACGCACGCCCTCTCCATCATATGGGAAACATTGCCATAGAACAGTCTGAATGTCCTCATCTGACCGTTGCACGTCCAAGAAGCCCGCCCAGACTGACCGAATTTCGTTGTCCAGGATTCCTAAAACTTCAATGTTGCGTTGCTCTCTTGACCATTGCTCCCAAATATCGGCATTCGATTGTCGGCGAAAGATAAGACGTTTCCTCAAGTAGAAAAGAACAACAAGAGAGAAAGACGTTCTGACTGCGGGGCTCAATGCAGGGTCAGGGCATAGGTCACGTAACGAGGAAACCGCGACATCCTTTGCCTCTTGTGACACCACCAAGGGCTCAATGCAGGGTAATATAGGCAGCACATCAATGTTTCCGATGTGGCCCGTGTTTAGCAGAGGCGTCCTCTCGGTAGGCCGCTCTGCGTCGTCGTTTCCGTTCATGAGTGCAAGGATCAAGAAGCAAGCATAGATGCCGAACTACTCGGTCATGCATGTTGCACAGCTTGGCGCCTAACTACTGCACCCGCTCATCCACCTCGAATAGCTAGCTACTACTAGACTTGCTCGTGTATCGTCATTCTCCCAGCCATGGACAGCGTATCTACGCCGCTTTTGCAAACAATCGAGCCAGATGAACCCATGGAACATACCGTCCCCTCGGGCCACATTAATGTGGGCTCTGGGCCGAGGGCACCTGTGGTACTCTCTCCCGGTGCTCGAGCATCACAGCCTATGGCGACCAACGCGAGTGATGCAGAAGCCGGTGTGTGTTACCGTAAACTATGAAAGTGCATGGTAAGGCTGACGCTATCGTCACCACCAGGTATAGCAGGCATACTCCGCCAAGTGTGTATCTAGACCTCTCCTATGGAATACTCTCTTACATTCACCGTCAGTCAGCACACCCACTGGCTCTACTGTGCTTATATTTATTCAGAATAGCAGCCATCGCAGTATATGTGCTGTGCGGCTTCTTCACGAACAACTTCGTAATCTCCGTCAGTCTCTGATGTCTTACTGCACATGGCATTAGAGTATTCAGCATTTTGCGGCAGACTGTCATGGTGGTGGTCTTACTGGCCATGGACTTCTGGAACTGTAGAGTGAGCTTAAAACATTCCATGCGACATCCCATTCTTACAGCTCGGTTGTCCGCACATGCAGAACGTCGCCGGACGAATACTAGTTGGCCTACGATATTGGAACCAGGTTGGTTTTGCGAATGCACCATTGCTCTAATCCTGTTTACAGTGATCTCTTATAGGTAGACGAAGATGGCGAAAGTTATTGGGTGTTTGAGAGTCGGGATGTAAGCCCATCTTGCTCTGAGTCCGGCTGGCTGACATTCAGATCCACCCTATAGCCATCGCGTCCTGCCAATCCCGTTGACTCAAGGTGCGTCGCGGCCTTCCTGTGCACGTCGTCATATATATATGTTGATCCTATTATTTCAGAATGTTTTGGGTTTGTAAAGCGCGGCAAGTCATCCGAACATTGGCTGACTAGTCCGCAGATCGCTTTATATGCCTTCCCTCTCTTCTGGCTAGCTCTTTTCGTTGTCTCCTTGCTGAAATTCAATATTTCGTGAGTATTGCTCATGTTATTCATAAGACATGTGATCGACCCCTACAGATTTATCCCGATCGTAGTGCTCGCATTGATTTTCAACTTCAGCAATGCAGTTGGCTTCACCTATGCGTATGTATCATTCGTAGCTGGTCGTTTTCATATTGCTAATCCTCCAATTAGCGACCGCGACGCCAAGCAGAAGTGGGCAAACAACTTAGCTTCTTCGGGCTGGGGTGTGGGGATGGGTGGCTTTGGGGGGCAGGTACTTGCTGGTGTGGTAAAACAGAGTGTCGGGAGAGTATTTAAATAAAGTCATCGACTTCAGATAGACTCTTGGGCAATGTGCGGTGCCCCTTTTCCTACAGCCAAGGGCAAGGATATAAAATTTTATTTACTTTCCTCTGGTGTTCGTACGCTCTGCGGAGGACAAAAGCGAGAAAGCGACTGCCTACTAATGACAAATGATCACGAAGGTCGAAGGATGCAGTAATGCGATATGGACGAGACGGAGTTTGCAGATGTTATACACAGACGACATGCAATGTGAAGTCCAGCCTGAATAAGAACCGGGAAATAAACGTGATAAAATAAACTGAAACTGCTAGAGATTATAATCCATGTGCAACCAGACGTTGGCGATGTTGAAACGAGCTAACAAGGTGCAATGTGATAAGGTCGACGAAATTGATGCACACGCCGACCGACAGCAGCGCGCAATGATACAATATGTTCAGGATCTACTTTAACATGTTCGCACCGATCCAACCCCGGGCGTCGACTCGTGAGGACGCAACCGTCGGTGTAGATGGCGGAGGTACGCCGATGAATGATCGACGGCGTCCGTCCGACTTGAAAGTAGAAACGCGAGGTGTCGACATCGAGGGGAAGGGATAAGAAGCGTTGGAGGTGAGCGTCATTGTGGACGGCGTGCGAGTCGTCAAAGTCGGAGATGGAGGAAATACGAACAATGTCTGTGAAGGCGTTGAAATCATCGATGTTGGTCTGGGTCTCGAGGTTTTCTGCGCCACCTTACGTGGCGTACGAAGGTCGGCAGTAGAAAGGTCGGGTTTGCGCGTATCAGCACGGGAACGAGGTGACACTGGAGAAGGATTTACAGGCACAACAGGGGAGGATGGAACAGGAGGGAGAAAACCCAAAGGAGGGGGACGCCGACGAGATTTCAATTTTGCTTGCCATCTAGGTGGGATGTCGAAGGCCGAACGAATAGCAGTTGCCGGAGGCGGAGGTATCGCGAAAGACGTTTTGTTGTGCGGAGCAGATGGAGGTACTCGAAGACTTACAGCTTGTCGCAAAGACGTCGTCGGCTGACAGCGAGAAGCGGAATCATGGGGTATTCGCGATGTAGTGGATTCGTCTTCGGTAGGTTCAGCACTTGAACAGCTGGCGTCCACGCTTGGAGCATCGAACCCACCGCCGACACCCAGTAGTTCTTGTTCTTCATCTTCTTCCACTAAATCTTCACTCAGAATACTACCGCCAGTCATAATGCTAGCGATAGATCCCGCACGTTTCCGAGGTACAAACCTGGATTTCCACGGAGGAACAGCCCCGACGTTAAAGGAACCCATGGAAGAGGCGGACGATTTGCGAGAGATGAGCCGCTCTTCCATAGCTTGATCGAGTGCCTTGGCTTCGAGCATGATTTCCACGCTCTCTCGATCATCGCCTGAGTTTGAGTCCATCATCAAACGCTGACGACCCCATTCCTCCTCGGAGTTAGAAGAACAATCTGGTGAGGTACTTCCCGCGTTGAAGGTTCGCTCGTAGTCTAATAATTGATAAATAAGGCTATCCAAATATAACAGATTAGTAACAGAAACTAGATGGCCTGAATGATTCAATGTCCACTCACGACATGTTAGGTCCAATGGCACTACTTTTGTCCTTCACAAAGGCGTAAGCCCCTTGCATCCCCTTCAGCGCCCATACGTCGGAGGGCACACTGGGCGAGCGCTGTGCGGCCGCGCGCATGACTAATGCAATAACAAGAGTTGCTGATCGCGATACTCCGCACTGGCAGCTAGTATACTCGTTAGGCGGCCCAAATGCGGGAATCCATAGAACATACTGGATCAACACGCCATCTCCACGCTCTAACGCCTCATCCACAAATGCCATAGCGACTGGGAAGCCTTCGTGTACAAGGTCCCCCTGGCCGTGTGACCAAGGAAGCTTGAGGTAATTCATCGCAGGCCGACCGCTCGGTATATGAGCGGGGAAGTAGCTAGAATCGGCGGCGGCCATTGTAGTCTTCAGATCTGGAGTAGACATGAAAGGGGGCGCGGGCCTCATCTGATCAAAGACGGTAGATACTTCCTTAGCTACATTGAGGATCGATTTGATACCGCGCTCCATGTGGCCACGCCAGTCGCAAACGTTGTCCTCTGAGCCAAGCCAGATGCCAGGTATGACTTGGACGGGACCCTGGAGGTACGGGGCGGCGTCCATATTCTCGTCTTCTTCACTTCTATGGCGGAGCAGAGTGGATGTACTGGCAGCTGGTAGTGAGATAACAGAAGGCCTGCGTCTAGACTCTGTGGGAGGCACATCGGAGAGAGGCAAGCTGAGGGAATTGGTAGACGACTGAGCGGAGGGAAGGGTGAGCGAGAGCTTCTTCATGTTTTTGAAAGGCTTGTGTTTGCTGGGAGGAGGGAATATAAACGAATCTGTGTCTGAAGTTGCAGATGAAAGGGCAGAAACGGAAGCAGAGCTCTCGCTCTGGACAAGCACTATGTCGGGGTTGTGGGAAGGGGTGTTGATACGAAGAGAAGTGGGAGGACCCCTCCTGCGAGGCGTGGCAGCCAGGAGGGCGGACTGCGTGCGGGGAGTTGCTGTGTCCATGCTTTTTGGATGAGTCGACACGCCAGCGTGTACGAGAGGGTTAGGGGAATATACAGAAGAACGAAAGAGATGTGGGGAAAGGAGGAAGAGGGAAAGAACGAAGCCCCAGCAGCGGTGTCAGTCGGGGGGGAGTAAACGACAACAGCCAGTTGAACTCGGCATTTGAGTGTCGCAGTGTGAACCAATCTCAAGTCGCTCCGGAATTGGCTCGTTCACACGCGTCCGGTCGCCAAACACCCCCGAGTTTGTGCTCCTACTCGCCTCAGGCTCTTTCGATCTCTTTGCGGCCTCTATTATCGCCAGCTTTGCATTGTTTCCCAAGGGGCACAGTCATGCCTACTTACAAGTACAATACTCAAGTACTCGGTGCTTCCACTTACAGGCACCTATTGCACGCGAATCTTGACATCAAATTTGTCTGGCATCTGCCCTAGCTGGCCTCAGCTTACGCAAGTACTATGTACCCCTCGTCCTCAAGTCAAAACCCATGCTATCGCTCAGGCTTCCCTGTAGTGAGTACGATTACTGCGATGCTGACTCGGTCGTCTATCGCCTCTGCTAGTGCCATCGACTAACTGCAGCCGCCTGGAAACCGGGTCACTATGCCGCGACAGTAATGACAGCGACACTGTCACGGTGCAGGGAAACGAACTCAGAGGCCCGTAAGTTCTTTACTACTTATCTAATATTTATCCGCCTGCAACAAAACCACCTGTCCTATCAGCGCTTGTCCCACTAAGCCCTTGTACTTAAAGTCTTGAACAGCGTGAAGGCGCCGTAGGACGCAAGGATGTGCAACCAGTCAATCATTAGCGACTCTTGAATATCTTCATGTTGCACTTTCATTCTATGAATGATTCTTGGCCAAGGCGACCGGGTGCCTCGTGGTCTCGCGCCAAGCTCTGATAGGCTCCGTCCAAGCGTCCAAGTGTGCATTGCCCCAGACAAGCCCCAGACCCGGTCACCCGACCTTAGTATAGCTCAAGCCTAAATTGTACTTGTCCCACCCGACTCCACCAGTGTCTCGCACCCAAACGCGTTGTCCATTTGGGTACGAGATCAACTCTAAGATTGTTTTTGAGGGCCTTCGCATGTACATCACGAGACTTAGTAGTAGTATGCCCAGCCGCCACTTGTGATGCAATATGTACACTTAAAACACTAGGCTGCAAGGGCTTAACGCACTCTGTAGCATTCGCTGGTACCCAACCTGTAGGAAACACTTATGGGATCGCGTGGTCGGCATGGCCATGATCTCCCTCTTTAATCCTGTTCGTACGCATACCACGGATCCCAGATTTCGTATCTTTAAGTGAGATGCTTTGCTGGTGTGAAAAATGACGCTGGACCGACCTCGAGCTGGGCGCCTCCTCGCTAGTTGCCACCTCATCAACATTCGATCCTGAATTTAGGCGGATGCCCAACCGCTTTCAGGTCGCGTATATAGCGTCGTTCACTGCTACATTCTTCTCTCTCGTTGCTCTCTCACATTTTGTGAACTCCAAGCTCAAGGAAGCCGGTTATAACATCTCTCATTTGATCTTAATCGGTCTTCCGAAGCGGAGAGACCACACAGAGCACGGCGAGGTCGCGTCACTGCATCCTGTTCCAACACAAAACATGTCTGTGGCATTGGGTAGCACATACAGCCAGTTATTGGCTCTCGCGCTGGCTGTAGTGACGAGTGCGTTCATTTATGTCAAATTTGGGAAGTCTAGTAAGTCCCTTTAGTTCATGGTGTTAAGACAATGCTAAGCCGTTCCTTAGAGCGAAAGCCCGTGCTCGACCCACAGGTCTGGCAGGAATTCTCTCTCAAAGAGAAGATTAGTATTTCTCCAAACACTGCAATGTGAGTCCGAGCATGGTGTCCTCAGCTATCGCTTGCTGAGATGCCGCGTCTTGCAGCTATCGTTTTGGTCTTCCTCAACCGGATGATATTCTCGGGCTTCCAATTGGGCAACATATATCTGTCTCCGCGGAGATTAATGGGAAAGACGTCATGCGAAGCTACACTCCTACTAGCAGTGACGATGACCGAGGTCACTTTGATTTGCTCATAAAGGTTCGTAAACGTAAACCCACCTTATCTCTTCGAGTCGCCTTCATGTTGCATAATTTTCTATAGAGTTACGAAAAGGGCAACATCTCACGTTATGTGTCGCTCCTTAAACTTGGAGACAAGATCCGCGTCAAAGGACCCAAAGGCCAGTTCACATACAGGTCGTCTCAATGGCGCGTCCTTGGCATGATTGCGGGTGGTACCGGCATCACGCCTATGCTTCAGATTATTCGCGCTGCGCTCAAGAATCCCAATGATACCACCCGTGTAAACCTCATCTACGCCAACGTCAACTTTGAAGACATCCTTTTGAAGAAGGAGTTAGATGAGCTCGCCGAGAAACATAAGGACCGGTTCAAGGTATACTATGTTCTCAATAACCCTCCAGATAACTGGGCTGGTGGCGTTGGATTTGTCTCTAAAGCACAAATTGAGACCCATATGCCAGCGCCTAGCTCTCTGAATGATATCAAGGTCTTGCTGTGTGGTATGTGCTCGTCGTCTCATGAATCCTTGTACATGTTTCACCAACGTTGCGACGTAGGACCTCCGCCTATGATTGGTGCTATGAAGTGAGACAAGCCGGTCCATATAGTTCAGCTCTCTTACTGATATCTGATAGGAAACATCTGGACGAGCTAAAGTACCCGGCTCCCCGTACAGTTAGCAAGCTAGACGACCAGGTGTGTTTCGATGTCTTCGCAATCTGCTTCTTATTCTGATCAACTATCAGGTTTTTGTTTTCTAAGGGGACAGATAGAGGCTGTTCTTGCTGCCGTGCATAGATATAGCGTCCTCGCTTTAGCGATAATTTTGCTTTAAACATTGCATTTTACTATTCAAGTCTGCGGGAAGATCTTTCTTCGTTAGAGAATTCTGAAGTCTGATCATATTTGAGGGCTAATACGAACTGGTTCAGAGTTTTTTTATAGCACACGTACACGAGCTGAAGGGTGTCCATACGCCTTCATCCATTCATCCCAATCTTTCGCGCTCATACGGCTCTAGGAATGGCGTATTCTGACTTGCTTCTGACGACTTTGAACGTCGGCCGTCGAGTGAGCTGCCATCATAATTGTCTGCCTCATGCCTCCGCTTCTGGAGCAAGATGTCCCCTTCTCCATAAAGGCAAGTGCCTGTCAGCACGTCTTCTCCCGAGACGCTGTTCTATTCCCGCATTGCTGACGCTGGTTCCCACTTCCGTAGGTTCATGAATGTCACCAGTCATACTGCCATCCAACCTGGCATCCTGGCAACAGCTATATTTGTATGTTTTATGAAGCGATGCTTGTTTGGGGTGCCGGCGATGTTTTCTTGGACGCGAGTGATACGTCGCTGGTTAGCCTAGTCCTCTTCTCTGCATAGGTTCAGCATGTGGATTCGCCCTTGACAGGAGGTGCAAAGCATAGGGGCATGTTGCCTACGGCCTAGAGCGTGGTCGAACCCAGAAGAATGGACAAAGGCACCGATGACCGCATAGCACCGAGAGTCGGATGATGAAGCTGCAGCTTCAGCGAGATCCTATTCTGTCCTATCTGATGTTGCACTAGCCAGCCCTTGCCTGAATATCTATATAATCCTGCCAACATACCCTCGTAGCGGCCACAAGTTGTTCACATCCCCACACATCTAGCAACAATACAACCTCAAGGATGTCCCAGGTATGATCATACTTCTACAACGCCGTCCCTCCTCATGTCGCTCTAGCCAGCCCTCCTCCACGTCTTCGGTCTATCAGTATGGTCCGCTGTACCTGAGCTCGCGGTGTAAGTCGAGCAGTTATACGGCGATAGCTGTGCCGAACCGCTCTAATCCTATCACAGCGAAGAACTTGAATATCCCGAAGGGTCGGTCGAAAAGAAGACCGTGAATCTTGTAGAGGGCGAGAACTTCACTCCCGAGTTTTTGCAGATTGTACGACCAATTCTATCTCTTACTGTGCGGTCTCTGATCAGCGTGCAGAATCCAAAAGGCACTCTGCCTGTACTACAGGCTGATGGGCAGGTCTTCACGGACACGACATCTGTCACTCGCTATCTTGTCCAAAATGCTCCTAAAAAGGTCGCCCCGGGTACTGCGTTCATTGCAAAGGTCCACGAGGACAAATATGACCCCAACTTCCCTTTGCTGCTCACGGTAGGCCCAGCATTGACAGTTTTTCCGCACACACGTTGACGTCGACATATGAAGCGTGACGAAAACGAGCTGAAAACGGCTGCATCCGGTTTCCCCCTCACTTTTGTTCAAAATCGTGAGTATTGTCCCTGTCGGCGGTTTCTCATGCTGCCAGACTCAATGCTGTTATGGATGCAGGTCAGAACGCACTGGTGAAGCACTCCAAAACTCATCAGGCGGCTCCCTTCAAACAATTTTACGACGACAAGATTGCAGGCAACGGCGGTGTTCTTTCCATCTACAAAGGCGAAGCCCCTGACGATGCCAAGACGGCATTTATGAAGCAATCCCAAGTTCACTGGGAGACTATTGCCAGCTTCTATCAAAATGAGCTGCCGTCAGTCTTACCTGAAAGCGGTTTCCTCGGCGGAGCTACACCAGGAGAAGATGACTTCCACTTGGCTGCTTGGCTGGCACGTATTGCCCATGTCCAGGGCGGAAATGTTGGCAAAGATGGGTACAAGGTCATCGAGAAAGAAACTAAGCAGCCGACGCCGCCCAAGGTAGCGGCGTACTGGGCTGCATGGAGCGAGAGGCCGAGCTGGAAGAAAGTCTATGCGAGCGGGTTGCACTGAACTGACGTGGGGAGGGGTTACATTCACCCCAAGACGTAAATTTGCGTAACGCTGTACTTGGGGGAACTCCGCCTTACTTTTGAGTTGTCTCAGAACAGTTTAGTGTAGTCTAGAACCAATGACGGTCTGCACGCAATGGCCTGTCGAAATGATGAATCAGATGGTCATGGTGATAGCTAGACATGAACAGATTGATTTGACACGCTGTTGCTTTCATGACAAGCTCTCTGTGGATATCGATCCCAGAAGATCCGAGACAGAACCCTCAAGCATCTCTTGCTTGCATTCGTCCAGGCTGACATGGGGTGAAAGAGGATAAGCACCCAACAAAGGAGGCAAGACCATTAACTTACATCCGCTTAATCTCATTAGCAGCGTCCATGCCAACCGCAAACTCTGCCTCCGTCGGCTCCCTCGATGCATGACGCGCTAATTGTATTGCGGAATCGTAATAGTGCAGCGGGGTGAGGCCGCTCTCATCCCGCGTGAGGAGAGGGAGGATGAATCGGAAATGATGGAGCATCCGCGCATGGGGCCGCAACGCCGGGTGGCGAGGAATTACAAGATGGGCGAGCTCATCTATCCTCATGGTTGAACGTTAGCACATAGACCGAATACTCACTGAAGAACGTCTATGCTTACCGATATCCCGTATCGTTCTTACAAGCGCGGTGCGGTAGCGTGTCTTAGCGTCCTTCGTATCTAAGGCAATTTCAATGGCAAGCCAGCAAACATAGCAGTTTGAGGCACACCTGGCCGTCCCCACCCCTCTTGAACACCATCTTTCGGCTGAGATTCGTATGTGATCAAACAAGCACGGGTATACTCTTGTTGGATGAAGCGGTAGACGGGCTATAACCCGACCGAAAATCAGAATGGGTACGTATACAAAACCACTTCTCCTAACCTCAGGGAGGTCAGCATTTCCCAGTGTACGATACGACTTGGAAATCCTCTGTAGCCTCCTGTGAACTGCAATCCTGCGCTTCAGACAGAAGGCGAGCGATATGATGAACTGCAGTAATTCAACCTGTGCTGTTCCTGATTGGAAAGTAGAACGAGTAAACCTACTACAATGACATATGCAGCACCGATGACGACCGCATTGAAGTTCCTTTCCCAAGTCCGGTGGGAATTAGTCCTAACAGCCTGCGAGAGGAGAAGTGCGCATGATACAGCTGTGAAGAAGATCGTTGCTAGTAGAACGAGAACATAGAGAATACCCCAGATAGTCGAAATTCCTCGAGACCTGGAGAACATATACCGCGAAAGCTCTCCGCACAGTACCTGCGTGCCGAATTGTCACCGACAGCTCGTAAATCACATGACAGCCATACCGGAACTTGGAGGAACTGTAAACGGTACTACCAGCACGATAAAGTTATATATAGACCTCGGACATTGCGACACTACTCTCGTGCACAGAGTACAATGCCACATTCATCCGGAACGAGATCACTTCCGGGACAGTGAAGGCCCTAAGCAAAAATCCTAGTAGCTTCCCGAGTCTGACTTATTCCCTCTAAACAACCAAAGTAACATACATGCATGCCAAAGTATGTGAGAACTTTGCTTGGACATTCCCGATGCACCAAGTAGGAAAAAGTGACAAAATTCCAACAATGGAGTGAATGAAATCGACAATCTGCTCACACTTGAACATTTTCGCTGCCGCGGCCTGTTAGCTCGCGAACATAAACAAGAGGTGGAAATGCTCACGAGAACTCTCCCTCCACATTACCCTGGGGGAAATACTCACATACATAGTACTGTGCCTCCTAAATATCAAATTATCAGACAGGCATATATATAATAAACGCACACCTACCCCGTAGCTGGCAGGAAAGATCCCATTGCACTCTTGAACAGCACAACCTACCTCCGTGGTAGCCTTCCAGACAACCTGCAGACGTGACATAATCAGATCACGTTAAGAAGATACGAAAAGCCCACGCACTTGGGTAAAATGGGAAGCGACAGGGTCATTTGGATCATACTCCGCTACATTGCAAACTTGTGAGATATCAGGATCACAGCAGCCAGATCTGTCACTCACAAACTTCATTTGTCCACGAAGAGATTGCAGCTGAAATACCATAGCTGCTGCCTGTGCCAGCTGCCAGATTCTCTGCGCAAGCTCAAATTAGCTAGATTCTGTTAGCGAGATCACGTCCACTTGCCTCCGTATGGACCAAGTGTCCCACCAGAGTGATCAAACACGCAACCATCGGCCCATTCTTGAGCGGCGGCGGCGAGAGTGTAATTCCAGGTTAGCGGCGTAGCGCCATGCTGTGCGCGGACCGTATTCTGGTCACTGAGATACTCGTCAATGTCACTTTGAGAGCTTGTTCCCGTCGGAGAGCTCTGACTCTGAGTATTGGATGATGCAGTCGTGGCGGCCACTTCCTCGTCTTGAGTGGTCGATGGAGGCAAAGCGCTAGTAGAAACTGGCGTAGACAGCGCCGTTGTTTCAGAAGGAACAGATGTTACCAGGATATTGGCATTGGTAGGGGCAGCCGTCAAAGCAATAATTGAAGATGATGTAGTCGCGGGCACAGGCGACGTCAAGGTTGACAGAGATGAAGAAGATACTATCGCCGTTGACGAAACACTACTGATGAAGGTATTCAAAAATATATGGCAGGCACATGTGCAATATTCAGAGCACATTCTAAGATGATGTGAAAGTGCACACCTAGTAGGCTTCACGCGGCAGGCCCTTCTGGAGACATTTCCAATATATTGTGGCACAAGAGCCTCTTCGCTCAGGCTGGAATTTGACACTTTTAGACTCCTATTGTGATGCCGACGTGCATGCACCACTACAGCATAACTGCCTGGAGCAGCAGAGAGTATTACAGCAAGAGACAAGATGAAAAGCAGAAGCCGACTCATATCAGAGAACGGTGTGGTGTCGGATGAACGAAAGAATGTGGGCCAGACGAACGAGAGCGACAAGAAGAGAAGGGTCACCGGGACAAGAGGATACGAAAGAAAAAATAGCTGCACGTCGGTCGCGCCTGAAATCCATTAAATATACGAGGAACGGCTGACTGCCGCTGTATAAACGCTACTGTCGCCAGGGGAATCTTCTGATCGGCTCGGGATGGATGCAATTTGGCAGCGGTGCCATGCAGACAAACTAAGATGGATGGTGAGAGTTGGGAATCATATGCTGCGACTGAGGCCAAGTCTCATCCTCGAGAGTAGTGCAGGAGAGTCGCGGTCAAATCCATGTCGACCGCGACGGTCGCGCGATCGAGACCAGAGTGCAATCTTGTCACGTGTACCGCGATTCCACGCCACTTCGCTTTGAAGTCGACTCTCAAGGATTGTAGATCTCTCGGAGTAAAATACTCAGACGAGAGCATGGCTTCTCCAGAAGAGCCTCCATATTATGTCCTCATCTCTCACAACTCTCTCCTGAACAATGTATCAGTTCCCGCATCGTCGTCGCTTGCTCATCCTAGTGTCATCCAGTACCACTACGCGGACGACTCGCCACATGCTTTACTGCCGCAATATCCTGGAGAGCATATCCTCGTCTTAGACTATGATCCGAGCAAATTGACTCTACCCACAGTTAAGAGTCTCTCTTCGGATTTAGCGGTATCAGGCTTGAGGGTCACGGACGCTCCTGGTGCTGGGGCTGCCGATGACGAACCCAAGAGGAACGACAAGATGTATATTTTAGAGACAACGGCTGTGTTAGAAGAGAAGTGTGTCCTAATATCACTTGCTCGCTGACATGTTAAGTTCAGGTGCATCAGCGTGGAAGATAATGACAATCCATCACCGCATTCGATTCTTGCTCGCTTCAAGCAGCGGTATGAGAATTCGCTCTTGGCAGGTTAATGTCAAGGCTGATTTGCACTGTAGTAATACCATCTTAAGACGTGCTCTGCAGTATCCTGAAGCAGATCCCGAAGACCAATCAGACACTGAACCCATTTTGGCGTCACCGCCAGAACCGCCAGTACTGTCGCAGGGTCTCCCGACGTAGGTTATGCCCATCGCCAGCGTCTTACCAACAGACAAAAACCTCAGTCTCCATGCAACTTGGATCTCGCCACCACCACCAGCGCAAATAGCTTGGAAATTCTCAAGCGTGTGCATCCCAGAGGATGCTGTCGTAGCATAGGTTTACGTTGCCCCCATAGAGAATCTTCATAAGGAGAAGAGTTTGGGAGATATTCGTCTACATGTAGGCTACTTCCCTTAGTTAATGTATGACACTACTATCCCCAAATGCAGTGCAGCAGCTACATTTACATCCAAATCAATTAAGTCACCGTTTCTTACCCTTGCCACTACGATGTTTCATTCCTGCAGACGCGCTCTGCTTCATGGCGCTTGGTGCTGGAGGCTTCTCATCATCTCCTGTATTTATTAGCGCAGAAAGTCTAGGATGCCAGTAAGAACGATGTGTATATATGGAGAGTTGGAAGTAAATACCCTGAGCCAAGGTCTCCGCTTTGTAGGGAGTTTTGAAAGGTGCTAATTCTCGCCTGTCGCTTATTAATGTCTTGCACCATCTCCGGATCCATGTTTTTCTGGCAGGCTCATGAGTTTCATTTGCACAAGCAGGAGATATGCACATACCATTAGGGTAGGCATTGCTAGAACCAAGACACCCATTCCTAACATCATGAGCGTCATTGGGCTTTGGAACATCCCGAGCAGGTTGAATGACTGGTGGGGAACGAAGTAGTCACTTGTCTGGCGTGCAGGAAGAACCACGGGGTATGGGAGTGTGACGGTCGATGGCGGGGACAGAGGTGTTCCCGGTATATATGGGCGAACTTCTGGCAGCGTCTCCGCTTCCAAAACATCTATCCGAAGCTGGCAGCGGAGTCGTCAATATGACGCAACGAGGCATTCAAACTCGACGAGGCTTGCCTTGTCAAAAGCATGATCATGAGCTATAACTGAAAGAATGTACGTCCCCGCTGGGACATCCGGACTGTCCAACCGGTTAGCATGTTCAAGCATAGCTAGTAAGAGGAGGAACACACATCACGAAGCTCCCATCCCGCGTTATGCCTCCACGTAGCTTGCCATTGTCCAAGACTACTTTGGCCTGCCCCAGAGATGAAAGACCTACAGTTGTTGTGAGGTACGGAATCAGAAAGGACGACACGGCGAAGCGCACTTGGACAGAGTTCGTTCCACTGTATGCGCCCTTTGATATCGAGGGCAAGGACTGTGTAGCACAGACTGCGCGGAGACGAGGTCAAATGCGTATGCGCATGAGGAATGGGATACGCACCTCGACAGAATCAGGAGAATGAAGGATACACGCATAGCGATGCCTGGGAGGCTGGGCGGAGCGACTTGCGTGACGCGTAGAAGAGGGCCGGACAACAGCACCACACAACCGCTCCTCCGGACGGCGCTGCACTCTTTGTACGCCGAAAATTGCTCCTGGATATTCCTTGGTCTCTTGCTTTCGCGTCTAAGTCACTCGAGCACATCATTTCAGTTAATTAGTATCGAGACAAAATGCGGCAAAAGCGAGCAAAAGCTTACCGCAAACTCATGTCGCTGTATTCAATGTCATTTGGCTTCAGACAGCCATACCAAGTTTTGAGTGTGTGCTCTTTCTTCTGGATGGCAGCCCAAAGCTCATGCTTTTCGGTCGTCAAGTCGATTCTGAGATGTGCAAAACGTCCATTTCCCACAAAATAGAGCTGGCTAAGCAGCTCGAAGTGGTTCTTCAGGGTTCTGTGAAGCCTAGTGAGTTCTAACCATATGTGCTTGTGCAGTATTGGTTGATTAATTGCCCGGCGAAGCCGCGCTTCAGTGATTACACAATGCTGTATACACGAACTCTACCTACAAGGCAAGACGCAGCAGTCTGCTGTCGACCTCGCAAAGACATTCGAGCGGCGGAAATGTAATCACCGCGAAGCAATTTCTGGGGATGACTGCTTAAAGAGCGTGGTTGGTACGTGTTTTTCCTCCACAGGTGTCATTCAGCGCGACGAATTTCGACTGTTTGCTTAGGCGATATCAATAAACATCGCTATGCTATTGCCACACAATCGCAGGAGCTAAGGACGAGTCTCCGCGCGATACCTGCTGTACCGGTTGTTCATGTTAATCGTTCGGTTATGGTCCTGGAACCACCTAGTCAAGCAACACTCGATGCAAAAACATCCGTGCGTGCTTTCGCACATACTTTCGAAGTATCTTATATATGAATGCTAATGTTCAACAGGTCGAAGAAACGGCGCTATATCCATCTACGAGTGAGATTACCGCACTCCCGTCATCCGTACCTGCAGAACAACCCCGAAAGAAAAAGAAGGGTCCTAAGGGACCCAATCCACTGAGTGTCAAAAAGAAGATTGTTAAATCTGATCCTTCTAGCTCGCTGAAGCGGCCTAGAGCACCAAAGCCAAATGAATCAGAGGTAGGATCAAAGCGTAAGCGGATGGAAGCTAGTGAGGCCGTAGACAATCAGAGGGTGACTAGTGAAAGTGGTCACAAGAGGAAGCGACGACGGAAAGCCCACCTTACTCCTGACACCGTAGAGACTGATCCTTAGTTGTGTCAATCAATCTTCTCGTCATTGAACCGATTTACGACCCACAACGTTCGTGTGCATCATCATGAATATATCTACAAATCTACAACCTTGGTATACACTCCAGACATAGTACAATATCAGTCGCGTCAAACACAACCCGACGAAGCGACGACGAGAAGATTCAGTTCCCACCACGAAGGCGGAGGACTATAATGCCACATCAGTTTCGGAAAACACCGGTACAATGACATTATCCTCACCAAGATGAAGAGTGGACTCTTTCTGAATATTGTAATCCGACAGCGTCCTCCCGTCTTCCAATTGCTTTCCAGCAAAGATAAGGCGCTGCTGATCGGGAGGAATACCTTCCTTATCCTGAATCTTGGCCTTCACGTTGTCGATCGTGTCTGACGACTCAACCTCCAGCGTGATAGTCTTGCCCGTAAGCGTCTTCACGAAAATCTGCATACCACCGCGGAGACGGAGAACGAGGTGAAGCGTGGACTCCTTCTGAATGTTATAATCCGACAAAGTGCGACCATCCTCCAGCTGTTTACCAGCAAAGATAAGACGCTGTTGGTCTGGCGGGATACCTTCCTTGTCTTGAATCTTGGCCTTGACGTTGTCAATCGTGTCCGACGACTCCACCTCTAACGTGATTGTCTTTCCTGTCAACGTCTTGACAAAAATCTGCATGCCACCACGTAGTCGCAAAACTATGACATCTATTAGACTGGAAAGACCAGCGACATAAGAAAGACATACCAAGGTGAAGCGTCGACTCCTTCTGAATATTGTAATCCGACAAAGTTCGGCCATCCTCCAACTGCTTCCCTGCGAAGATCAGACGCTGTTGATCAGGGGGGATTCCTTCCTTGTCTTGAATCTTCGCCTTCACGTTATCAATAGTGTCCGACGACTCAACCTCCAGAGTGATCGTCTTGCCAGTCAGTGTTTTCACGAAGATCTGCATACCACCGCGCAAACGCAAGACTGAAGCCAGTGATGAGTGATGCACGAACAACGGAATAATATGTTGCTCACCGAGGTGAAGCGTTGACTCTTTCTGGATGTTGTAGTCTGACAATGTACGACCATCCTCCAGCTGTTTGCCAGCGAAGATGAGGCGCTGTTGGTCTGGTGGAATGCCCTCCTTATCTTGAATCTTAGCCTTGACATTGTCGATCGTGTCAGACGATTCGACCTCAAGGGTGATCGTCTTCCCTGTGAGCGTTTTCACAAAGATCTGCATGCCGCCACGGAGACGAAGCACAAGGTGAAGAGTGGATTCCTTCTGGATGTTGTAATCTGACAGCGTACGGCCGTCCTCGAGCTGCTTGCCGGCGAAGATAAGGCGCTGTTGGTCAGGGGGGATTCTACAACGCGCGTCAGCAACCGCCACACAAGAAGTAAAGTTGAATGAACTCACCCCTCCTTGTCCTGGATCTTCGCTTTGACGTTGTCGATTGTGTCGGAGGACTCAACCTCGAGGGTGATGGTCTTGCCAGTGAGGGTCTTGACAAAAATCTGCATGGTGACTAAGGATACGAAGTGGTAGGCTTCAAGGTTGAATATGTCAGCGCCCGGGTTGTCCGCATCTTATATATGGCCCGCAGTGGTAGGCTGACTCAGCCGTGGACCCTTGTCACCCGGCGCCGAATCCACGAGACGCTCTTCGAATCATCTTACAGATTGCAGTCACCGGGCGGCCACCGGCCGATGCCGCGCTTGCTTTATCTGCACTGGCTCGACACAGCTCATGTTACTCGGTGTCGTCGCCGCTCACGCAGTGGACTTCTGCCAAGTGGTCATGTTATATTAACACACAAGCTGTGTCCGGCGATACTATTCAAATCGCTACAGTATACTCCGAGTCAGAGAATCAACTTGTGAAAATCGAGGGCCAGATGTTGATGCGACCATCCAGATCGCCATGAGAAGGTGTGTGGGCCGCTCATCGAGGAGAAAAATTGTCCGATACAGTCCACCCCACGATGGCTTCGCCGGTTATGAAGCACCAAAGCGCTAGTATCATCTCGTTCTGCCGTTCATGGAGCCGCTTGGGCTGAATAACAACTGAACACAAGGGATGTCCTACACAGCTGTTTCTTGGATGCTGTGATCCACCCAAAGTCGTATGGTTAGGTCTTTTTCCATAGATGCGGACGCAATGATAGGTTTCTTAGGATGCGCCTGAATTTTGACTCAGTCATCCTTGGACGTGGTTGACAGACATGATGTATTACACTTACCGCTACCGCGATGACCACGTCTATGGTCTTCTATAGTAACTACTAGGGTTGCATGCATGGTTTAGTAGACGCACCTCTATGGCCATCAAGTACTTGCACAACTTCCCTTGTTTGGAGGTTCCAAATGTATATTTTCGAGTCTTCGCTTCCGCTCATGATGTGTTTGAAGCCAGGCGTGAAGTTTGCAAATAGGCAATATGTACGGTTGAGGTGCCCGCTATAGGTTTTCAGGCATCGCGATGTCTGTGCATTCCATAGACGTATAGTTGAGTCTTGTGTAGATGCGAGGATGAATTTAGAGTTCGGTGTGAACTCAATATGGGAACTAACAACGGATGGTGAGTAGTGCGACGCTAAGTATCAAATCATATTCCTACCAAATAGGATTGTCATCGTCAGCCAGTGTCTTCAGACATTGTCCCGATTCAGAATCCCATATACGGCTGACATCAATGATCATTAAGATAGGACCAAGCTATAATCACAAGCTCACAAGCTCACATAAGACCATCCATCGCACATGATGCTATGAGTGTCCCATCGTGATTGAAAGTAACGGCGGTGACAGGATCAGAATGTGCTGGAAGTGTCTTCAATGTCCTGCCTGGCGAGCACATAAGAGGTCGCTCTGACAGCATTGAATCGTGACTGCATACCTCTTGCAACATCCCACACACGGACGGTCTCGTCGAATCCGCCCGAGACAAGCAGGTTAGACTTTGGATTGAAGTTGACGCAGAACACGAAATTAGTATGACCCTTGAGGACGTTCACGGAAGACATCTAACCGACACATGGAGATAATTCACACATTGAATTCTAGCTCCATCGATTTACGCATACGCACCGTTTCCATGCTCCATATTCGAATGGTCTTGTCATCCGAAGCGGATGCAAGGAACTCGTTGTCTGGAGACCAAGCAATATCGGAGATGCCCTCGTCGTGACCTTGAAGGGTGTGTATAATCTCGCCGCTATCCGCGTCCCATATTTTGACCAGCCCGTCGGCGGCTTGCTTCCAGTAAAGTTAGTCAAAAGAGAAATAGGAGAAGTTGTGTTAACACACCTGAAGAGGCAAGCTTCGTTCCGTCAAAGCTGAACTTCAGAGATGATATGGACCTTCTATGTCCACTCAAAATATAGTGTAAACGATAGTCTGGCGTTGTACGCCGTACAACGGTCAGAGTTTTGATATGATCGTCAGCGGACAAGATCAATGGTTGACCCTGAGCCGATTTTCCGTCCAAATCTTCGTCAACTTTGATTGATGTGCCATTGAGCGAAGGTGAAAGGTTTCTGGAGTTGTCAGTGTCCATGGGCCGTGGACAAACTCGTTCCGGGTGAGTGGCTGGAGATGTCCGTCAAGCGCCCGCCGCCTCAAAAACTTGCTTTGCGACTTCCGCCACCGCCGCGTCCTTGCACAACCAATTGGCCGTCAGTCTTCGTATCACGCTCATTTCGTTTAAGATCAAGGCAGAGACGAGCATAAGCTGACACAACGTGTAAATATTCAACATGGCATCCGTTGCATCGAACTGGGTTTCACCGCCGACGAGGACACCGCTCATTGAGAACCTGGTGTCTGGCGTGGGTGCGTGCAATATTCCACGGTTCTCTACGGATTTTTAACAGCATTGTAGATCGATACAACCCAAGCAATGTGGGCATCCTTGAGGATTACCTGTATCACCAGACCCGGAGCCAGGAGTATGATTGTCTGGCTAATTTGGCCATTCTGAAACTGTCCGTTTGCCAGGTTCCTGGATGAAGTATACCGCTGACCCTCTGTCCTTCCTTCAGATATCAATTCAACCCCGACCTGTACAATCCCGATGTTGTGATCAACATCCTGATCAAAGCCCTCACCTCCGCTCCTTTCCCCGACTTTAATCTTTGCATTTCTCTCCTCGATGATCGTGCAGCGAACACTAATCCGGACGAGCCCGATCCACTACCATCCCTACTTCCTACCTTGACAATGCTTTACAATCTCCTGCAGCAATGTCGCTTCCCCGCGTTTTGGGCATTGTATCGCTCTGATGAGGTTGAGTCGCTCAGAGACAATTACACAGTGGAGTGTGCAGGTTTTGAGGACGCTGTGCGGGATGTCGTGATTCGTGCCGTAAAAGCTGCTTTCACGCGAATAGGTCGTGAAAGGCTCGGTACATATCTGGATCTCACAGGTTGGTACATCTCTTGAGGCTCTACTGGAGGCTGAAGCCCATCCTTATCACAGGGTCCGATTTGGATATACACGTCGCAAAGCTTGGCTGGTCTATCGATTCCTCGACAGGAGTCGTCACAGTTCCACCTAACCCGGACAACCGCATCGAGTCTACAGTTGTCCAAGAAAATATCCAGTTACCGCGTAAGTTCAGTTTCCACCCCTCCACTATACTCATCTGATTTATATACACATATTATAAAGAGTTGACGAAGGTTATTACACACGCTTCGCAGACTGCATAGAAGTTGCTGTAGCTTTACATGAGGTTTGTATTATCAATCGTGCATTGATGTATTGCCTTGCCGGCGCTTGGCATGGTTTGCATCTCTTGCTGTCACTCAGTGATTACACCACTTAGGTGAGACTTGAACAATGGTGATTGTACATGACCTTAGATACACTGAGTATTTATGACCCCCGCATCGACCAGAATGCTGCTGCCGTCCCCCACGTCGCCATAATAACCCCTGCCACTAGAAGAAAAGCATCCCATGCACTGCAACGTTTAGAAAGAGCGATCTTTGCCGAGACCGGTCCAATCACGCTCAGTAGAAAGGAAGAGAATGCACCGAGAAATGCCATCATCGAGCTGAATTCAGGAACGAAGATGGAAACAGCAACCGAGCACAGGGTAAGGAGGGTGCGTTCGATGAAGACAAACATACTTCTCAGTATACGGCGGCTCTTCGGGACGGTGTGATTAGACTCGACGTCATGAGATTGAGTTTTGGGCCCATGCTCTTCAACGGGAGCTGAACTGCCCTCAATTCCAAGCATCATCTCCAGGGCTACGTTAAGCTGTAGACAAACTTCTAAATATCTGTGACAGGTCAATTGTACTTGACACATACCGGTCTAGAAGAGAGAGCAAATTTGGATCTGGCGGACAGCACGTTATTAAGGGAAATCTTGAAGGTTGTATTGTTGTTACAACTTACAGTGGACTTAAGACAAGACCCCATAGGGCAATCCGATTCAAGACAGGATACACACTATACTGTGCCAGATCTTTGCTGAACTGTCAGGTGGTAACGAGTTACCTTCGGAATCATTGATAAAGTATATTCAAGCTCACCTCATCACTAACAGCATTGCCGAACATTATATACCCTGAGACTCCAATGACTGAATAAACGACGGTGGCAACAGTGAACGCCTGGGTGATCATGGAGTCAAATTGCGATGGATCACTCATGTCTCTGACAAGAGACGGGATGACCGCGTGTCCAGCAAGCTACAAAGACCATGGTCAAATTTGCTAATATGACAACTTACGCAGAACGCACCCCAGCCATGAATAGTCCAAACGCAAGACCCAGCTCACCGACACCCTTGGCACCAATACTAGTCTCCGCAGGGCTCCAAAAACTTCCAGGGCTATTAGTTTTGGCAAAACCATCTATCAGGACAACTATTATGATCAACAACGTGGAGGAAATTCCAAGTATTGATGTATAGGATAACACGGAAAGCGGCATGAAAGTCGTAGGTATCATTCTCGAGACATTCCTTCAATCAGCCAAATTGTCTGGACGAAGGAAGACGCACTTACATTAGCAGTCCAATTACTTTATACGTGTTCGATGAATACGTGGGCACGATGGCGTGCAGCGAATCTGCATATAGGGTAACCAAAGCAACACTGACTAACGGTGAGGAATCGGCAAAAACAATACAACTAAATCAATACCTAACGGTAAAAAGCTCCAGGCAGAAGACCGCACTGATCCAAGGCCCTGCATGAGGACCAAATGCCTTTCGGCCAATATCAGAGTAGGTCTTGAGACGAGGGTCTTCGAGAATCATGTTGGCCAGAATCTTTGCGCTGTTGATATAGAGCAAGATTAGACGTTGAGATTACCCAGGACACCATCAGAAAGGCGCACGTGTAGCAAGTAACCAGACCATAAAATGCGACGATGAGTGTGCCACCAACCCATCCAGCAAGTGCAAAGGCAAGCGGCTCGGAAAGCATACCAATCCCAAGTAGAATGGCTATGGCATTAAATAGCTATAAATCACACAATAAAATTCAATATCGAATATCTCCGCCAATATCTGACATCGACTTACTGTCTGACCGAACGTACTGTGCCCAGACGGCATCTTCGCCTTTCCATGGGTCTGGTGATGGTCATGGCCTATCTTTCTCGCGCTCAACTGAGACATTCGGCGGGCCGTAGCAGTTGAAACGGTATGCGTAGCAGTCAGAGAAGACTCGTGAGTGCTTCGAATGGGGGTTTCAGCATACGACACCGACAGTCGCTTTCCCAGTAAAGGTGTACGCTCCTCAGCTTTCTGGATTGAAATGGTGGGTGTTTGGAATGGAGGCAACGGGTTGTATGATGGTCGGCGGCGAGATACGGGGAGCACGAATGAACGTGGACTCGATTTATTGATGTCTTGAGAGGGACCTGAAATCAAGTCCTCATCCCAATGGAGATTACTATGCACGTCGTCGTACGGCAGCGCCTCGTCGGAGGGGTCATCATCGGGAATATCCTCTTCGTCACTTGGGAGCGCTTCCTGCTCCAGGTATTCTTCCTCTCCGTCGTCACAGGTATCATTCGCAGGATGAGATACGGAGTCTGACAGATACTCCTGCACGCGTCGATCTGAGAGGTATAAGAACTCACATACGTCGACCAGGTTGCATAGCACTCACAAGATTCAACGACATCCCTGACCCCAGACAGTGACCGTGGCCGGAAGCTGACTCCTGTTGTGAGGGAAGACATGGTCGTTGACGGTGGTGGTCGTAAAAATATGAGGGTGTATGCTGTTCCTCTTGGGAAGACCTCGTCAGGGTAAACGGCAACTTGCAGAAGTAGTCTTATATGCTCACTCGGAGTGGTGTTACAAATAAGGAAAGGAGACTGAGCTAGAGAGATTTGAACGTCGCGGTGGCAATTGCCAGGAATTTGTCGAAGATCCGAGAAGGCCTCTAGGACATCTGGACCAACTATTCCATAACGGCAGGTCAGCCTATTTATCAACTTCAAGCCGGTCTGGACGAGTAGATGACATTTTCAATAAAATAGCGACGGCGGACTCACGCAGCCATGTGGTGACTCCGGTCAGTGGCCCCGGGTCAAAAATGAGGTCTTGACGAATTGCCAGGGGTAAAGTTGGCCGGCTGAGAGGCACCTTTGACCATCCGCATGCTGATTCTTTGAAGGGTGTTGCAAACCGAATGAGCAATCGCGCAGACATCGCAATATTTATGGGCACGTCTAGGCCAGGACAGTACACTGGGAGTCGCAGCGACAAATACATACTTACCGAATGTTAGTAAAGAGACACGCGCGAGAGACTTCTAAACGCATAGCTCGACTCACCGTTGTCGATGACGAAAGTTATGAATAGTCGAGAGATGTCGAGTGGCCAGACTAACTCCATTAAATAATATTAATATAATAGTAAATGCTATGCAATGTCCATCCAGATGCCAGTGCCAAAAGGAAGGGAATAGATATGTACCGGGATGGCGTGGGATCATGAAGCATTCATCGCTTTGCGGTTTGTCCACTGCATATACGGCTCTCTCGAAACATCCGCGCCAGCATGTTTTCGTGTGCTGCGCCTTGCCTCCGACACTTTCGTATTTGTAACCAAGTCCTGTCGAATAGAGTTCATCATGTCGCCAAGAGTCTCAATATTTATACTCACTGCAGTACGTTTCCGAACGCCGGGTGCAATGTGCGGCCACCACTTCGTGAAGGCATTCTTCAAAGCCAGCTCGCGAACGCCTTTTGGGTTTAACCAAGCAATGAACTCATCAATCTAGAAAAGCTCAGTTGGCTATAACGGCGGATCATTGACCAAGGCATACCTCCTCTAGATCATCAAAAACTGCCCATTCGCCAACGCCCAGCATTCCTTCTCCGCCTTCTTCTTCCTTTCTCCGTACGGAGACATCCTCTTCTCTCCGATCTAGTATCTCTATGTCGAATTCACTTGGTCCCTGTATAAAAATCCGCCCCGTCCCGTATTGTACGGTACCACCGCTCCCTACCAATGACGCCGCGCCCATACCATCAAACCACCAAATGCGGTTATAAAACCTGTCCTTTCCCAGAGGTTTCACGCGAACGGACCCCAGTAGCTTCCTGAATTCTCGCTCAATACCCTCGAGCCGGCGCTCGAGCTTATTGACTTCTTCATCCAATCGCCGATGTTCCGCCAACGCTTGCTTCGCCGATGCTTGCTTTGCGCGCGCTAGCTCCCGTTCTTTGGCCGCTGTACGCCGAGTGTCCTTAGGACGAGCCGCTGACGACGATTCCCCTTCCCCTTCTGAGCCAGGAATCTCAGAAAGATCGCTAGATTCGTGCATCACAACGTCCGTTCCGTTATTGGTTGCACCGTCGAGTTTTGCATCTCCGTTCAGAACACTCATCTCCTCCATGCTGATGGTGAAGAACATGATAAGTACTCATTCAAATCCCAACTAACCATGAACTTACCACTGCTTCTTCGACCTATTCACTTCTATTTTCTCTTTCCGCAAAGCAGTCAACTGCTCCTCAGACCACTCCATGTGCGCGTGAATCGCCTTACTGGATATTGCCAAATTACACAAAAATGCCAATATGGTGACTCTGTCAGCAGGTGACAGGGAATAATATCGAATACTTGGATGTGTAGGGATCGAAAGAGGAATTGGTTCCGGACTTGATAACGGTGTACCACTAGCTGATAGTGATGCTTCTGAAGTCGAATCCGGGGCGAACAGGAGTCGAGTAAATATTTCACGAATTTTAGGGAAATTGCCTAAATTCGCGTGCTATGGTGCTCCCTCAGTGACCTTACTATCAGAACTAGGGTGACAGACATTGCTTACATCTTTCAAACACCCAACAAGAGACTCCTCCCAGCCGTCTCGGCCCTCAGAGTGGCGGAGTGGGGCGCGCTCCCAGTTGTTGCCAACATCGGCCATAGCACCAGTGAGTTGATCTAATGACACGCTAAATGATATGTCGCCCCTCACATCCTTTTTTGATCGTACAAGGGACAGCACAGCACTATGCTTGTTGAAAGGGACGGTGCGCAAGTTATAGATGAGCGCAGCATGAATCTCGGCCAATAAAACACAGGGCGGATCTAGAACAGAGTGTCGTAAAGCTTGCTCAAAGTCGTCCATTGTAAACGGGGATAAATGTAACGGCTGCCTGCTCGTAGCAATAGTCAGTTGTCTGAGCGCAGTTTGCCAGAGATGTCGAGGACTCACCCATACACCACCAGAAAGTTCCAAGCCATAAGGAAGGCATCATTCAATGGTGTGTCACGACCGAAAGGCATAGCTCCGCAGCTTGGTATCGGTCTTTTCAATTTCATCCCAGCCTTCTTCTCCTTATCGCCAATAACAACGTCTAGATCCTCAGTTGGATACCTGATTGGTTTCTTCTTCTTTTTCTCTGCTGCAAGACGATCATTCTCCTCCTTTGCCTTCTGCACCTTATCGGCTTTCTCGCGCGCTTCTCGCTCTCGCTTTTCGGTTGCAGCGGCGAGAGCTTTAGCTTTTGTCCAAGGAGTGTAAGGCAACAGTTGCAACTTAGTAAACTTCAGACATACCCTTCTCTTCGGATGCTGCAGTCATCTTCTTCTGCTTCTTGGTTGGAGGACCCTCCTTGTCCTCCCAAACCTTCTTGCGCTTGTCTATCTCGCCCTTTTTGATATTCTCCACACCTTTCCTGGTCTCCTCGGGCATAACGGTATTCACACCATATCGCTCTGCGATGGTAGGCTTCACTGTCCACGGAGATGCAACCGCGGGTGCACGATCTACACAGTCGCGAATGAAGCGTCGAAGGATGGATTTAGAGAAGGTCAAACGATCGCGACTAGCACGATACAAATCAGAGGTTCGCCGATAACACGTTGAATCCAATATGGAAACATACCCGATGACAGAACAGCGCACATCTAGAAGGATACCACACCACTTCGCTGTATCCTTGCTCTTGTTTTTCTCGTGTCTTCCCGCCCCGGGTTGCTGCTCCTCGTCAAGCACCTGGACCTGATAGACATACTTGGCCGGATCATCTTTGGCGATTGAATCCTTCACTGACGTCTTTAAATCTTCAGCAATCTTGTGGATGGACCGTTCGTCATCGGACAATGAAGAAGATGGCGTAGATCCTGATGCAGGTGGACTTGTCCTGGAAGTTGAAGCGATGGATGGAACATCGGGGGGCACGACCTGAAGGACACGAGCCAGATACCTGGAAGCCAGACATATGAGCACGCAGTACAGTCACGGTGAATGATGACGTACTTCTCGCCTTCTAAGTCGACCAGTACTCCTGTTCCGCCACAGTGAATAAATCTGGCTGGGCGCTGAGGTTGAGTGCTTACTTTCATCCGGATAGTAGCGGTCCTTGAAGCGTTCATATATTGCTTCGACTAAATGATCAAGACGACCCATAACCTCTGGCAATATGAGATCAACGTATTGGTTTATACTCGTAACTCGAACAATGACGCTGTAAGACTCACGCCACTGTACCGCTTTCAGGACTGCGGCCTTGAGAGGATCAGGAAACCTGGAGTGCATCGTCCGTGCCTCATGCCGTTCGCTTTCGACCGCCTGGAAGTAGTCCAAGCCACTCTTCCCAGTGACCTCGCATTGAAACTGTTTAAGCCTATAGAAAGACATCCGCGCGGCATACGCTCTGGGATGTGAAGAAGAGCTAAGCCAACGGATATGAGTGAGGGCGGAAGACCGAGTCGTACTCATAAGACTCGAAGATCTCGCCGGTCTGGGCTAGATAATAGACATCCTTGTTAGGGTCGGACTTGAGAATGGCGAGAAGCTCTGGAGATGGTTCGGTGAGCAGGACGCGCTTGCGTCTGCAGGTGGGCATAATGGATGGAGGAAGAGAGGGGGACCGCGGAAGGGAGCGGCGGGGGGGAGAGGGTGGGATAGGGTAAGCGGACAGGTGGCCAGGTTGGGATGCGAATGCGTGAGGCGGGTCGCCCGCATTTTTGCAGTTGTGCGTCTCCGAGGCCGACCACGCTCAGCCACTCTCCTGCCTCCCCATTTCACACTCAGCCCTCCTCTCTGCCCCGCTCTCCCACCTCCCCTCACCTCCCCTCACCTCACCTCGTGCACATCTCTTTCGCACCCAAGTCTCTCTACCACGCGCCCTCTCTCCGCGTCAAGGGCTCCCTCCTCTTTGTGCCCATCTCTGGCGCGGGTTCTGAGGTAGCAATTCAGGAGAGCCGTCCGCGCCTTGGACCGCCCTCTCGCGGCTCCAGCCATCTCCCGTGCTTGAGATAACCACACCGGAGATCCCTCTGTTACACCATAACTCTATACCCGTTGGCGTTGCTTCGGTGGTCGCGGGACCACACAGCGGGTATGCAGCACAACGGCTCCGAAGGCAGTCGCCCGTGGCGCTCTTAGCTCCAGTCCCACCTGCCGAACATATAGAGCTCTCATGGCCGACTGGGTAAACTTATCTTACCCCGTACACTTTGCTAGCCGCTACCCTGCGTAATTGTCTGGACATATAGGCACTTCTAAATCCCTATGTCCGGCCGACAAACGTATGGCGCCATCCTTATATATACACGCGTATGCTCTTTGGTCAGTGATTGCCACTGCCATTCTGTAGAAACCCAGGACGCGGTATCCGTCTATCAAGTCAATGCTCTTTGGTGGCTTCGTCTCCTGGTGTGGTGGCTGAGCGAAACGGTCACGTGCAGCGTGTCAACGACGCGTCTCCGACTCGGGAAACAAGTTTAACGACTCGTTAATAAAGTTCAAGCTGGCAGAGATCCTGGTGAAATCTTGTCGTACATCGAGTTTACTGGTATTCATCTAGATGACACTAACTCAGATACAAATAGTCCATTTATACATCGCAAAACTTGTAGTCATGAAGGTCATTGATATCGCTAACATTTATGAGGACCAGCCTATGCTGGTTTGAAGGAGAGTATGGAGAGCTAGTAGTAGCACGCATGTAGTGAAGCGAATGGGAGATCCTAGAATTTCAGGTAAGGTCCAGCACTTTTTGACGACCCACAACTCACCAGCGTATGTCATTATGTCGTATCGTAGTAGGCGAATCACAGTCTATCTAATCCCAGTTCCATTCAGTGCCATCTACAGAAGAAATTCTCCTCGTACCTTCTCATCGTTCCCTCTAAATTCGGTTCAGCGCCCCAATTTCAACCGTTCTAAGCTTAGAGGTAATAGTGAGCTCACACACCAGTCTTCCAATTGTATAGAACTGACCTTTGTCTTTGTTCTTCGAGAAGATGCGTCTAAAGCCTGAATGAGAGTTTGACTTCTCTTGTTCCTTCTTTGCACCGACTGCATCAATGATCACAATGGCTTTGGCCGCTGGAGACATGCTGGACTTTGCGCCCCTCGACTCCTTGCTCTGTTGAGAGCGAGGGAGCTTGGAATCGGAACTACTTCTGGTATGTGGCGCCGGCCGCTGTGAGGGTGGAGGGTAGGGGTTCGGGTTTTTCCCTGCCAATTTTGTTCGGCGAAATGGATCAGGGGATGCACTCTGCGCCTGCCGTGATTTTCCCTTGCCACTATCCTGCGCACTTCGTTCTCCTTTCTCAATATTCACCAACACCCAACCAGAACTGTCTGTATCACTCCGCGCTGCGGCCGGTCTTTTAACGACAGGACTACCTGTACCTGTACTGCGGCTACCACTCTACGTTTTTTCTGCATCAGACTCTGTTTCTTTTTGGCTCAGTCTTCACTCACCTTGTCCACGCTACTTGACTGAGGCGTACTCGATCTCCCGCGGGAGTCAGATTCGCTCCCTTCTCGTCTATTGTTGGTCTTGTTCACTAAGCGGCCACGCAGGTCTTGCTCTTGACTGGGACGTTCTATGATAGTTGGAGGCAACATGTTCGATACGTCATTATAGCGCCTCTCGTCTTTTGGAGTGGGAGCACCTTGGGAAGCGCCAAGGTAGAACGGACCGGTGGATCTCTGAATGTGCGCTCGTGGAGGCCGCTCACGGGATGTGTCTTTGACTTCCCGCTGCCTTCCACCTTCGTCCTCTTCCTTAATTTCAGCTAGGAAACTACGGCCTAACTCTGACTCATGCCCTGGGTATGTAAATGGAACCTCCAGGGAAGTTTGCGCCGTCGCAGAGGAAAATGCAGAATCGCCTTCAAAGATGCCTGGACTGAGTAGGGGCGGCGTAGGAGTTCGAGGAAAATCGGGAATGTCCAATTTCAATGAGAGGTCTTTCCCCTTCGACCCACTTCTTTGTAGATTTCCTGATGAATGAGAACTTTGGAAATATCCATTTCCTACTGATCCAGAAGAAGGCATTGGGGTACCTTGCTCTTTGGAAGTTGGAAGCTGTCCGTTTGTACTGGGGGGCGCCGACGGCGACGTACTGATGACTGATGGAAGCGGCTGAGTAGCACTAGTCTCGGGTGGTGGGATGCTAGAAGGCAGCGCTGGCGCAGCTGTTTCTGTGTCAGACAGCGTATGATCCAAAGTTCGTACGTCCGTGCCGAAGCTGGCATGCATAGATGGTAGAATCGGGTGCGACGGGGGCATCATATACCCTACTGCCTGCCAGGGAGCTCGATATGCATATGTGTGTGCATAGCCGGGAACACCAGCGGTCATATATAGGACATCTGGAGACCGCGACAACCGCTCACCTCCCTTGCCTCGCCCGGAACCGATGCCAGTCATGTCAACACTGCCCATGCTACTCGAGAATGGATGTTGCTTATTCTCAACAGGAGAGTTGGCTGCACTATCGCTGTCTGGTATCATCGCCAGGGGAATAGGCACTTGCTGGGACGCTTTACGCAGTATGTTATTCTGTACCTTCTGTGCAGAGGAAATCGGTTTAAGAGGAGATGAAGCAGCAGGCATGGCGCCGCCTGCTCGGTAGGACGAACCGATTGGCACGAGCTTCTCATTGGGAGCCTGGGCAGTATATGGTAAGCTATCCCCTCGTAACTCCTGGCTAGAGGGAGCCGGGCTTGAATGAGGCGAGTCGAAGACTGGGGTATCTTCCAACGGTCCAATAAAAATCCAGAGATCTTGCTTCCGTGACCGGTTCGTTAGAGTCAAAGAGGTGAGGAATGTGAACGCGTGGCTATCGAGTGTGGTGAGAAGACTCAAGATTTGCTGGAGCGAATCAGCCGCAAAGGTGTCCTCTTGAAAGACTGGCGGATCACCTATAAGCAGGGTAGCATTGAGCTGTTTGAGATTCGACACTCACACTTATAGCCTTTCAGCTTGAATTGATAAGTAGCGTCCCCAAGTTTCTTTTCCGATACAACCCCACGAGGCCATGAGCCTCTGACCGCCTGTAGAATGGCTGGAGTAGAAGGTAGAGGAGGGTCGACGACGCGCAAAATGCTGGGGGATACAAAGGATATCGCAAAAGGCGCCCGGGATGGATGAAGAGTGGCAGCCGAACCGGTCGTAATCGGGCCAGAAGAAGAGGACACGGACACGGGCTTGGAGAAGACGAGCGCAATACGGTCGTCTGGCTCACGGCCGTAGTCAACGGAAGACATAAAAGAGTATCCGCACTGTAGAACGGCTGACAGGATGCCAACGACTAACTTCTCGGATTCTATGCTCTTCGGACTTGCCCAGGGCCTGCGGTCGAGACAGAACTCAAAGAACTGTTTCTGTGAAAGCTCGCGGAAGCTAACGAGTAAGTCCTGCTGGTCGAATAGACGTCGGAGAGCAGATGTTACGAGCGGGGGAAAGCTATACAATCTGACGAGATTGGCACCGGAGAGGGCCAGCAGAGAGAACGAAGAGATGACTCGGGGATCGCGAATGAACTCCTTGCGAGGCACGAAGGGAAAGACATTGGTGCCACCGTTCGCATTGGCCGATAGCGGGATGGGATGTTTGGATAACTGTGGAGGGGAGGATGATTGTGCCATGGCGGTTGCGTGCAACGAGCCTTGTGTTCCATATTAGCTGGCGTGAGCAGCGCACTATCTTCGTGCTTTCGGTGGAACCTCTGCAGCCACTCGCCCACCAGCTCGCGTCAGACTCACCACGCCCCGCGTGCAGAGTCCACGTGCCTCCCAGCCGCCCAAGTCTCCTCTCGGCCTGTGCATGGCAGACTCGCGGTCGCTATATCTCAGTCAATGGCGCGCTCAAGCAGTTCATGTGTACTGTATCAGCGGACCGCACTCGTCCATTGCAATGAAATCTCACCAGGCCGATGAGCACACGCTACACGGACATGACATGTCTTGCACTCTCACGCTTACCAGCATTCGACAATGCCCCCACTCTTATGCCTCGACCCGCAGCAGCCCTAATTACCGTGAAGGCCTCAATAACGGCGGCTTACGGCAGAGCTGTCCGCTTCTTTCGTCGACCGAGATGGTTCAACAAAAGCAAATAAGCACCAAAGAGCAGTTCTCGACAGTTATGAGTCCAGGTGGATCCACGAGGGTGCTAGCGGTATGTCAAAAAGTAACCATCTGGGCTTCCCAGAAACGTCAAGCGCATATCTTGACATGGTAATGCAGACCCAGGAGCTGCATTTACCCAATTTGTACTGGGACGAATTTCACCGATCAAGAGTCACCCACCTCATACAGTAGTGTACAAGCTCGCCCTGACAATAAGGTAAGAACAGGGTCGTCGGTGTAGCTACATACAGAGACAACTTACTCGGGAACATATTACTTCGTCTCCGTCTCAGGAGACACCAACCATCCTCTTCCAACCTCCGTCCCGAAACCGCAACCTTACGCGACGAACGTAAATGTGGCTTATTTCAGAGTCGTGGTAAACAAATTTTCCGAACCAATGAGCCAGACCATGTTGAATCGCGAGCACTCAGTCCAGCTTTCTTGTCGCTCCCCGGTCATTTAGAGATGTCTTTATGCAGAGTGCCCCAGACCAAATTTTGCTGGGCAGTGAAACTTCTCCAGAGAAGGAAAACGTCGACCAACGAACGGTTCAAGACGATCAGCCGTGCGTACTTGGATAAGTCAGGTCAAGACATTCACAAACGCCTCCAGCTCGACGTGTGGGCCGTGACTCCGAGCCGGCAACCTGAAGAAGTCAGGCTGGGGAAGAACGGGGAGCGGGAGCGCCGGCCCGAAATCTTTCCCGGCCCGTTACCGGCTCGACTTCCTCAGGAGCACGCTCAGCTCGGCCGTACTTATAGGAAGGCGGAGCAGGCGATGGCATCTGCACGCTATAGCCTGATTCCATTTCGTCCAGTCTTGCTCTTGCAGAGGAAACCATGTCGTCCGAAATGAAGAAACTCAACGTCCTGATGTGTATGTGCATACAAACACTTATTTGCTACGCGTTCTGACGGATCCTCCAGGTGGTACTGTACGTATAATTCTATTCTGCAGGTCCTGTCAACGTGGTTGTATATGTGTCCGTAATTCAGGGAGAGTACACGACCGGATGGACAGGATCAGGCGCATCCAAGTCGGACAAGAAGGTCAGTACCGATCTGCGCTGATCGATGCATTCGCCACTGAACTCAGCGCCACCAGATTGGTGTAAGTGCTGCATGCGAGTATTCACACACAAGACAAATGAATTTCCGTGTCATAGGTTGTTGGACTGACTCTCTTTGACCTTCGGAGGTTGGGAAAGGTGGAGAAGCTCGGCATGGTTGGAACGAACGGGTCGAAGTTCCCTGCTATCCGGAAACATCTGGATGAGAACATCGCCCAGGTATACACAGATATGGACACGACGTACGTTCCCGACTTTGCCGATGCGCGTGGGTAGGATTACTTAGTGTCTCCAGGTTCGATGCATTTCCAGAGGGCGCTGTAGTGGATCCCGAAGCCTGTCAGTGCCTTGACAAATAAAGCGGCCACATTTTTCTGACCTGCGTCTGGTAAATGTATCTAGACAAGGCCGCTATCGACAAAATGTCAGCTGGGGATGCGGTTGTAATCTTCACCCCCGATAGTATGTTCTCTGCTATTCGCCGCTGTGTATGAGCTTAAAGAAGTTGCAGGTACACATTACCCTATCGCTCTCTATGCGATTGAGCGAGGTATCCATGTCCTCGTCACCAAACCCGCTGTCCAGCTCCTGGCTCATCATAATGATCTTGTCGCTGCTGCAAAGAAGCACAACGTCGTTTGCTTTGTAGAACATCACAAGCGGTTTGTCCTACCCTTTTCTCACCTGAATCCCGTTGACCTATTTTGTGCGTATAGCTTTGATCCGGTATACAGCGATGCGAGAGCTCGGGCTGCATCTCTGGGAGAGTTCAATTTCTTCAGTGCATGGATGAGCCAACCGAAGAGCCAGTTGGAGACTTTCCGGGCGTGGGCTGGCAGAGATTCTGATATCAGGTAAGCCCTGCACGATCTTCGCAATGCAATGAAGACGTGTGATTCTTACACATTGTGCTTCAGCTATTATCTGTCGTCTCACCACATCGATATCCATTGCTGGATCATGCAAGATAAAGCCATTCCGACGCGCGTGACAGCAAGTGCTGCGACGGGTATTGCTACCAGCGAGCCATACAACTGCGTGCCCCAGACAGAAGACACGATTACGCTCCTTGTCGACTGGCAATCTCTATCGAGCTCGAAACATAAGGGTACGGCGGTCTACACCGCATCGTGGACCGCCCCCATGAAGTCCGGGGTTCACTCTGCACAACACTGGTATTACATGGCCGAGAAGGTCCGTGAAACTCCATTGCACCGGCGATAGAGCGGTGGCTTAGTTCTTTCTGCATAGGGCGAGATCAACGTTGACCAAGCCCACCGTGGATATGATATCGTCAACGACGAGTCAGGCAAAGCCTGGTACAACCCATTCTAGTAAGTTACACATACACCCTTCTTTCCGCTCCTGATGGAATATCGGATTTAGCATGAAGTACTCTCCGTCTGAGAGCGGACACTTTGACGGCCAGCGGGGTTACGGTTACGTTTCAATCGAGAAGTTTGTCGACGCCGCTCGGAGCGTCAATGCAGGGCTCACGACGCCGGCGGATTTCGACAGCCACGGCCTGCCGACGATCGCTAACACTGTTCTCACTACTGCCATCCTCCACGCTGGCCGCATCAGTCTCGACGAGAAGAGGCCTGTCAACATCAAGCGTAGTAACGACGAATGGATTTTGGAGTAGGCGGAGGTCCCGCGCTCGATCGCGTAAACGCCTGACGTCGCGAGGGCAGAGAAGACATCAAAGGTACATCAGAAAAGGGGCGTATGTACTCATCAAGTGTATACTACGTATTCGGTTCGTACTTGAATCGCGCAAGCCGCGACGCGGTGGCTCGTCTGGTGACTGTTCCCCCTGGCGGGCACTGATCAGGCGATGATCTGAATGCGCGGGACCGGCAGGTGTGCCGTCGTATTCGACGACGATGGTCTCGCACGATAGAACAATCAGACTTGATCATATCCGCGAGACCAGGCCCCTCCTCGTGGCCCAAGGACATGAAAATGCGACAATCCTCCCGATCTGTTCAAGACGCTCGCACGGCGCTGTCGCCGGTCCCTGAGTCAGTAGGTTCGCAACATATTCTGTGCGTCAAGGCTGTGTCTCCAACCATATGCCATCTTACCTCACCCTGGTTACCCAGAAGCCAGCGAAAGTGCACTCGTGTCTTGTGTCCAAATGATTCGAGGGTGCTCCGCAGTTCCAGACTCCCAGGAGCATCCCTGAGCCCGAGATCTCCAACGACACTCGAGTTTAACCAAGCGCGCACTAAAGTTGACAGCGATGACGACAATGATTGATTCGATTGAAATGATACTCTGTAATGTAGACAGGATGCGTGAACGATGTATTAGCCCTTCAGGCCAGAGTGGAAATGACGAGGACGAGGACGAGGACGACGGTATAGAGGAGAATCAGAGTCAGATGCTGCAACATTGACGACACCCGCAGGAACAAGGAGTAATACGGACACAGTGCGCGGGCTGAAGATGAATGACAATGATGAATGCGGGAGCGAGGAGCCAAATAAACTTTGTACAATAAACCTGAAGAATAAGATAGAACGAAGGCAATTTAAAAGGATGGGGAGCCTGTCGAGCTCATCGCGTAAGGCGATTCAGGGGATGGGGCGCAGCGGTAAAACGATGGTATGCATAGGGTAAACATCGACAATGAATGTGTTGTTGAGAGTTCGATGGAGAGATAGAGACAGAATCCCGGTACGAGCAACAGGGTTTACACGGCAGAAACTTCACAGAGGAATGAAGTTGTCAAGCTAATCGTACACCAACCACCACCGCGTACACGTTGACGCATTGCCGTATATCATTCCTCTGGCACGACCCTGTCCTCCGGCTCGTACAGGCCTCTGCGCTGACTGTGGATGTTGAGAATATATGAGAGACGATTGCAAGGGAAAGGATGCATGGATGATGTTGAATTGCAGGAGAGATGCGCGTGATATGCCGATAAAACGACGTGTATGGTATGATAGTACATTTTGCGATGATTCTTGGAATATTGCATCGAACGACGAAGCTTTTTACAACCTATTACACCAGACTTGAGAGCGTAGAGCCCGTGGCAGCGAACACAGCAGCACAGCGGGCATCATGAAACCACCGCCTGACGAGGAGACGGGACGTTCAAGCTGTGTAGAGCTGGGCGACCGAATGTTACAAAGTCGTGAGGCAGATATTGCTCGGGCGTTAGCTCCAAGCGCTGCTTGTTGATCACAGGCTCAAAGGTCGGAGATCCCATATTCTCTTTGTCGTCCGACAAGTACGAGCCCGAGAATAAATCACTCGAGTAAGGTGTTGGGCTGGTTGGTGTTGCAGGCATGTCGTCTGAGAGATCCGATGCCGTAGTCGAAACACTCATCGGGGTATGAACCTTGGGCGAGTACGAGCGGACCGGTGTCATAGGTAGGGGTGCAAGGGATTGACGGTTGAATCGGCCCCCTTGAAGATAGTATTGCACAACGAATGTCGCCGCTTTGGAATAGAATGCATATGAATACTTCTTGACCAAAGTCTCAGAGAGATCGTTGACATGTTTAGACAATCGAGAGTCGAGGAGCTCAACAATCTCTAAGCATTCTTCAGTTTCTTCAAACAGGTGACGACCCTTGCCACAAAGGTAACGCGCCAGAGTTAGAGATCCCAAAGCGATGGCGGAAGGAGTATACTGGACGAATTCCCGGTAGAACAGTGTGATTTCCATGAGAAATCGCGCAACATGCTGGACCTTCGCTTCCTCCACGTACGCGCCGCAACACATCAGTCGAAGCCACGCTTCAGCCGTCGGGTGTCCAAGGGTCCATTGAATGGTTGACAGGACGTGTCCCTCCATCTGGATGAATGCGGACTCGTCGTACGTATCCCGACAAATCTGTGCGAGGTCCTGAACGGTCGGTACCCGTTCTTTCGCATCCTCGAATTTAGCGGCGATCCAAAGGGCCGCGCAGCCGACAAGTTGATAGTGCTTGACGTACACAATGCGTCTTGATACATAACGATCAATGATGTTTAACGTGAGATAGAGTGTCTCCGGGCGGAGACGGAAGGTGAAATGGATCTCGACGAGGAAGTCGACGAGACACGGGCGCATGTGCCACCTAATCTCAGGCTGCTGGTCCATTGATGTGGTGGAGGACATGGTGTACCGCTGTACACGCGCTTATCAATCAATGACTGCAAGACACTTCGGAGGAAATGTGACGGTAACTAACCTCCATTTCATGCATGTAAAATTGAATCTCATCTCGATACTCTTCTTCCAGGTAAATACCCTCCCTACGCAGTGCAGTCAAGTACGCATCACGCTGGCGCTGTGCGAGCAACTCTGCCTTCACAGCGCGAGGCGTTTTGCGAACAACAGCCTGTGGAGGATAGAGCGGGGAGTGTTTGCGGGACTTTGAAACACCATGGGGCGAGGGGCGTTTCTTGGGGTAGGCGGACAGGCGGGCGGCTTTGGAGGAAGAGTTCGAGACGTCCTTCATATCTACTGCAGAAGGAGAAACCAGTACGGATGAGCGCGATTCCGGGAGGTTGTCAGACATCGGGTAGACAGAAGGAGCGGATGGTTCGGGAGAACCAAGTGCAGTAGACATAGCCACAGAAGGCAAGGGTCAAGCACGTCCCTTGCGCTTGGATAGCGAGGAAAAGCGCCCACGGAGAGGTGGATGGAATAGTAGTTCAACAGAACATGACAGTGGGCTCGGCTGCCAGCTCACGAGGAGCGAGAGGGAACAACGAACGCGTGACAGCGTGGCAGGGGTCACGAAGCACGGAGACTCGACTCTTCACTGGGACACTGAACACTGCGTGCACAAAAGTCATCGGCGACACCGTCGATCGTGACAGAAAGCCAGCCGGGTGGCATGGATCGGGTGCAACGCCAAGCGGCTGCGCGTGCGGGGGTGATTTGAGGGCAGTAAAGACGAGAGAAGGGGACTTACTGAGGAGGGGAGTACGGTCATGCGATGGGGGTGGAACAAAGGGGAGGATGGAAGATGCAGAGAGGATGTGTGGAGGGAGGGGCAAGTGCTAGAGAACGGAGAAAGGATCGTCAGCGTCGTCGGTCGTGAGGAGAGGAGGGGGAGGGAGGGAGGGAGGGAGGCCGTCGACGACAAAGACGACGAGGCAGGGAGGAGGAAGAAGCCAAGGCCCGAAGACATATAAGGGAGCCGGGAATCCGGGAGGATAACGCGATAACGTGTCAAAATCAAAAGGAAACAAAAATGAATACAAGGTCGCAACGTGAGCACTGAGCAGCCGCCCATCGGCTCATCAAATAAGGCCATCGCCCCCAATCTGTCCGGCCCTAGACGACCTCCACCACCAAAGCGCACCGCCAAAGCAGCGCGGCCACAGAAATAAATAATACGATAGCAAAGCCAAAACCCAGCTCCAGCCTGTGGCCCGCTGCAGAAAGCTGCAGCCACAGCTACAGCCACAGCCACAGCCACAATCCAGGCGCCGCCTGAAATGCGTCCACTGTACTGGGTCGGCCCGCCCTTCCCACGCCCCACGTTCCCCGACGCCGCCCCTGGCCAAGTGACGTCGTCCTTGTGCTGGTCTCACCTCGGGTAGTCTTCCACCTCACTGCTCTATTCATCAGCACTGCGCTTGTCTGACCCGGTGGCCACTCACCGGCTGCGATGTGCTTGCAAATATCCCGGAAAATTCTGCAAAATATAGTCAGCAGTCCGTCACTATCGATATCGACCCCGCCTTCACATCGACAGCCGCACATCCGCCCCTTGCTCATCGACATCGGCATCAACATCCGCCTCCATCTCATCGACATCGCCCACTGTCTCATCACCAGCGCGTGCACACACTCACAGAGTAGCCTGATGCCTGAGCTTTCTGACACCAACGAATCCCAACGGAAAAGACTGAATTAGACGCGGACCTTGCGAGATTATTTGCTGGCTTGCGAGACTAGAGTGCGGACAGAGACAATGAGCGAAAGACTGAGTCAGGTAAACGAGAGGCGGGTGGCGATCTTGTGCCAATTTCTATCCTGTCGATGCGTAATGCACGGCAGTGCAGACAGTTCGCAGGGTGCGACGGCGGCTGCGAGGAGGGGTCGGTCCCACGGAATGAGACCGGGGAGGGAGCCTGGCAGGCTGCGGGGTGTGTCGAGGAGCAGGAGGGGGGCGAAAACTGCGACGACGCGCTCAACCTTCGAGTCTTGAAGCTTGACGACGCAGACGACGTGGACGGGGCCGTTTGGTCAGTTGCAACGCACAGAGGGCGTGTTCTCGCTTATTTGCCTCGGCGCACATATCTAGTGCGCTTGGATTCTCCCATTGGCCCGTTTCTGGGCGCGAGCCTCAACACGTTGTCTGCCTGCAGGCATACACGGTCTGATATGAATCCCTCATTCGGCCATTTAGGTAAGCCTTCTAGCCAGCTGTCGCTCAAGCTCCTCCGCAGGCCCATCGCTATCGCTCGCTTTATTCTCCGCTTCAGACCATTACATCCACGCTTCCACCGTCTTGACAATGATAGTAACCTAATACGACCATTATAGTGAGCCGTTCATTTGCCTTGCTTCTCGCCCTGCGATCCGTGCCGCCCGGGTCTTGATCCAACCCGTGCGGAAGTGCGTAAGAGCTAACGGCCGTGGGCGCTGTACGTCGTCGCAGTGATATTTGATAGTAATTATCACTAATTTGCGTGTTACAGGCGCAAGAGATGGATAGCTAAGTATACCGAGCTATGTGTCAGACTACTATCCATGTGCACGGGGAGCGCTGATGTCTGCAGCAGGCCAGGCCCCCTTCACATTCTTTATCCTCTTTGGACGCTTTCCCTTCCATCATTCACCGTTATCGTGCTCATCAGGACGCTCGTGTTAGCCACTTTGATTGAGGAGAACGACCCACCGACGCCGCAAGTTCACATGACGCATTTCTGACGTTCATAACATGATATCGTTATATCTTTCATGACAGGGTGTTGTATGGTGACAAATTCAGAAAGCACCGGAGCTTGGACGCGCGCGACGAGAGTTGTACTGCATCCGCTGGCTACGTCGGGGCACGGCCCAGAGGCGCGGAGGGGAGATAGCATCGTGATCGCCCTTACGGTCGATAGCCGGCGAGCCGCACAGGATCAAACTGTCACCGCCGCCCGCAATACTCGGGCCCGACAAGAGCACCCCCGACGAGCTCGTTTAGACGTGCGGTCGGGGAGGGGTTCTATGTAACGCTGGGCGGGAATGTGAGGCTTGTGTTCAGGAACTGGACGGCGCGTGAACGGTGAACCGAACATCAGATATGCGGTATTAGTAGTGTGAGTGCACCCGGACACAATAAGACGAGGACAGGTGAGAATACAGGTTGTTCTTATCCATCAAGGGTGTCGTATAACATGTGGAAGACCGGGCCAATGGGTGCTTTCCAGCTGGCGTAGAAGCCGGGGGTTTGTAGCAGCTTGACGACGGACTGAATGGTGCGAGTCTACGGGCGGACTCTTGGCTGGGGCAGGCTGCAGGGCGTGGAAGAGCGGATGGCCTGCGGGGGAATCGAAGACGAGCATTTGCCTGATAGTGTCTGGCCCGTCCAGACGCACTGTGTGGCTCGGGGAAATCTCGAGGATTCGTGCGTCCAGCGGGGAATATTCCCACGGGGTCGCGTGCAGTCGCAAGTAGCAGAGCTGCTGCATCCGGCCCGTCGGCCCCCACCTGCCAAAACGGGCGCCAGATTCGCGTCAGATCGATCGGTGGCCGAGCTGCCGGCCCCGGCCGACAAGCATTTAACCTTCCGTTTTCGGACAGCCCAAGATCAGCATTTCCGATTTACAGACCGGGGCCAGCCACACGTTGACTGACCAGACTCCCTCCTGTACTCGCTTATGTACCAGTCTATCGCATGCACGCAATGCGCATGTGTCCACCCCCGCAACTGAAGACAGCGACAGCGACCTTGATCCTGATATCGATACCTCCAAGGCACCAGGCCACGAGACGCCTGGATGGCGTCGATAATCGCTGTCTCGCATTGGCAGATGTCTGTCACCGCGACTGGATAAAGGAGCGGTATATATCGGCAAATGCTGTCGAAAAGTCCTCTGATGCCGCGAATATATTTACATGACTGATCACACTTGAAACGAATTTACAGCTGCCTGGCGGCATCGACAAAACACTCTCCAGCACCGTCCAAATCCCCAGCAGACAGACTTTCGGACTCAACAGCGACGGCGTGCCACCAACTCCCACGCTCACTCGGTGTGTCAAGAAAGCCAAGCTTGCACGAGCGAGGAAACGAGATCAATCTAACAATCGCGCAAGGGAAAAGGATAGTCGATGACTTTGCCAAGCCCCTAGTCCCGGTGTCCGCCCATCAAGAGGGCCATCAGGTCCTGGGTACCCTGAGCGCTACCCCCAAGCATTCCTTGCTGCTGTTGCTGTTGCTGCAGGTGTGGGGGCAAAAGATGCGGCATTAAATGCGGTGGCAGCTGCTGTGGTTGCTGCTGACGCATTCCCAGATGCGCCCCCGGTACTTGTCCAGACGGTCCATGCCCAGGCCCAAACCCTGGTCCCTGCCCTTGCCCCCGCATCCCAACGCCGCCGCCGAGCCCTAGCAGCTGCGCCTGGTTGGCTGCGCGCAGATCCAGGTTGTGTTGGTGCCCCATGCCACCCATCGACGCCAGCCCCAGGGGGTTCTGTGGGCCGGTCAGACCACGAGCTTGAGGGCCGCCTCCGAAGCCAAGACCTCCACCTCCACCAAAGTTGTTCAGCGAATGCTGCACAGGCGACCCGCCGTGCAGTCCACCTTGCAACCCACTGCCCATTCCGCCCATCTGTCCTCCGATGAATTGCGATGGGTCGTGAGGAGGCCGTCCGCCGAGGTTCGCTAGTCCGGGGGGCAGTCGCTGAGAGGGCCCCCCAAACGCATTCTGATTAGCAATGGGAGAGGGCGCGCCCCGGAATTGTGGCTGTTGTTGCAGGGGCATGCCTCCATTACGCAACATCGCTGCTTGCTGCTGAGCATACACAGAAGAGGCCGGGCCAGAATACATCTGATCGAGATTGCGCTGTTGTTGCAGCCGCACATTGAAGTGTAATGGATCGTCAAGTTGCTCGTTGAAGAGGACGCCGCTTGGCTCCCTGCTTCGGGAGCGAGGAATAGGGGGACGAAGACCAGGGACCATACCGTCGGGAACGAAGTTTCTGTCCTCGAACCGACTGTCGTATAAGGACTCTAGATGAGGATTCTGCGGGAAGTGTTGTTGGGCGTGCATCTGGTTCTGCAAGTTGTGCAATTCGGAGTGATTCTGTCCAAATGGACTACTTCCAGAGGGCACACGACCTGTTGGCGGTATTTGTGGTGAACCGCGATGGCTCTGTAGATCAACGAAACAGCCGTCTAGCGACAGGAAGCAGCAAGAATTAGGTAAACTTACCTGAGCGGAGTTTTGCAACATAGCAAAGATATCTTCCATTGTTCTCGTTTCGCCGTTATTGATCATTCCGTTCATGCTCACGGGAGTGTGCCGTGGATCAGGGAGAGCTGCGGACGACGGGTAACTGGAGAGCCCTGGGGCCTTTCTTCCACCTCCAGCCTGGTTCTCTCTAGCCTTAGAGTCAAAAAACTTGGCAAAACGGCTTCCCTTGCCAGTAGCATAATTCACACCACCCGGGACATTCGCACCAGCGAGGTCGATGGACCCGTTGGATGACATACTGGTAGCACCGGGATGTGCATTTCCTACGTCACTGTATGCTGACGCAGATTCTGGAGAGAGACCGAACGCTGCTCGTTCGACGGCCGACGGCCGCCTGAGTTCATTCAGCTGGCCTAGGGATACAGTATCGGGCAATTCATCATATGAGAGTGATGACTGTGTGAGATTTCCGTGTGATGAAAAGCCACCCATCACGCGCGAGGTATCACCGCCCAAATGTCTTGAATTCGATGCGAAATGTGGATCGACACCGAGCCCAGACATACCATCACGGCTCAGGGCAGGATGTGTAGAGTTGGAGGGGATGCTAGCCAATTTATGGCCGGGGAGACCATGAATACCTGGTGGAGGGAGTTGACCTGGAACGGAGTCGAGATCCGATAGGCTTTTCGTGAGGAGAACATCGGGGCCTACAGAACCAGCGGACGATACACGTGAGCCAAACGCGAGTAGACGAGAGCCAGGAGGAGGATTAAATGCAGACGTCGGGGATGCGTTGGAGGACTCAATTGACATCTCTGATACTTGGGTCAAGGAGGCCGCACTCGCAGGAGGCAAGGAATTTGAAGTGACACGAGAGCCCAGCAACCTAGATCCTTCGGATGCTTGGTCTACAGATGTTGCGGGCAACTTCGCGGAAGCAGACTCGCCGGATGCAGTAGAGATCAATGTCAATAGCGACTGAACACCGTTCGTAGATACTGCTGTGGCCTTGGTCAATTGAGGGTTCGGTTGAGCGGCATGATTAGGAAGCTGGTTGAGGCTGTCCAAGGGAGATTGTGTAGTAGCGGTGATATCTCTTTGTGTCGATCGCAAGGGGGAAGAAGAACGATTGTCTGTGAAGAGGTTAGCGAGAGTGCCATTATTCCAAGCATTGCATATTGCATACCTTTCTCGGGGACGTCTTTGACATGCTCGAGTTCAGGGTTAGAAGTGTCGTTCTCCGCTTGTGTAGGAGTTGAGCCAGCCGACGCTGCAATATCCGTCTCGCCATCCTTCCTCGCCGCTTCTCGTTTCATCATCAGCTTGAAGAGCTGTATCTCATCGAGCTGGCTATCAGGTGCAGCCGAGGGCAACAGAGGTTGGTTCGATGTCGGAGACGACTTGTCGGCTTCCGACGCCTTAGACGTAGATTCACTCTCCTTCTCTTGTCGCTCCTTCTCTTTCATTCCCTTCTTCCATGCTTGAATGCCATCGAGCTCCCCGTCGCTGGTTTTGCCGCCTAGTATACCGCCACCAGAGGTTGATGGGACGTATGTCTCCATCCAAGCAGGTTCGGCTTCTCTCGCCCTGTCACGTTCCCGGCCATCGTCGCCTCTCCTCTCTCGCCCAATTCCCCGTCGAGGGCGAGTATCGCGGTCATCTGAGGTACCCGGGCGCTCGCGATCGCGGTCATCGCCTTTATCCCAGCGCTCGCGCTCTCGTTCCCTCCTAATAGCCATCCTCTCGTCACGCTTGCCATCGTCTCTCCAACGCCTTGGGTCATCGTCATGGTCACGTTCCGGATCTTTTGCGCGGAATTTATCGCGGTTATCTCTTTGGTAGGTATCGTCCCGATCGCGTTCGCTGCGATTGTGAGAATCATCCCATTCACGCCGATGGTGATCATCCCGCTCTCGTCGCAAATAATCGTCCTTGTCCCGACGGTGTTCATCCCGGTCAGTATCCCCACGACGATCACGGACTCGGTCCCGATCCCTGTCTCTTTCGTCACGGTCACGCTCACGGTCGCGTCTACTAGAGGAAGGGTCTCGTCTCGTTCTTGACGAGTCACGTACACGAGAGCGAGGTCTGTCGCGGTCTCTGCGAGAACTATCAGGCTCTAGACATAATACATGAAGCCGTTGTTTCCGCAATGATTCGAGAATCAAGGACTCACTGTCATCTCTCCCCGCTCGCGAATTATCAGGTCCTATTGGACATTCAGCAAACAGGCCTCTGTCAATTATGATCTTGCACTAACCTCGTCTCCAATCATCGCTGGTCTCACCGGCCTTCCGCTTTACTGCATCCCTGGCATCGTTCCGACGAGCAGAAGTAGCAGAATTCTGACCGAGTCTACTAGACGTGCCAGATACTAGATGAGGGGCAGAATCTCTGTCTTTGCTTCGCAAACCATTTGAGGCAGATGAAAGCGCGAGCCGATCCCGATCATACTTGTCCGACAGCTGTGCCAACGTTTGAGTAATTGGAACGGAGGACCCAACCAGTGCACCTACATTTCGCAATCTTTCCTGCCCCTCCTTGTCCCTCAAGTCTCGCTCCCTCTCCCTTTCCGAGTCTCGATCCCTCTCACGCTCGCTTGTGCGGATGGATTGATGCCTGAAATTTCCCATCTGAGAAGGCTGAGACAGAGTTGAGCGAAATGACGGCCTCGAAGAATCTAACGGATATAACGGATAACGCGCTACTTTAGAATTGGAATCGACACTGAGTAAGTTTTGGAACACGCACCCCCGTCCTCTACATCTCGTCGGAAACTAAGAAAGGAAAAATCAGTGATATCCATAGACATAAAATGTGAGATAAATTACCGTCTTTCTCTGGCATTGGTGGAACCGTTGGACACATCAGCGTCCTTTTTGGTAGATGTTTGTTGTTCATTCCAGTCCCTATAGGAGAACGTGTGTCAGTCGGTGAGTGCGGATGCACTCCAGGAGGACACAAACAACTCACCCAAACCAATCTTTCAACGACGGCATACCATTGGGAGGTTGGACGAGAGGAGATTTGCGAAGATACAGGATCTGCGCTCGAGTGTAGACACACAAGAGCCTGGGTGGATTGGCAGTGCTTTTGTTGCTGGAGTTGTCTGCCGTGTCAGAATCTTGCAAAGTGGCATTGACCACAGCTTCGGACAAATCGTCTATTGCGGCATCCTGAGCTGGCGGTGGACCGTCTCTGCTGTGATTTGACACGCCCATAGCCAAAGTTGCCATGCCAGACAGGTGTAAAATGTTCGAGGTAGAGGGAGGTGAGTGAAGTGCTAGGGCTGGGCCAAGTCGGCCAGCTATCGCGGGACTTGAAGTTGCTAGCGAATTTGGAGCGCGCTTCCGGAATGGGCTGGTCGCCGCCTTTCCCGCCAAAATCCTTTTCGACGACGTCAAGGAGTCGTTTCTTGACTGCAGCAGACATGCGATGCATGAGCCCACACTCAAACACTTTATTCTGAAGCAGAGGGTCTTCAATCTCTATCGGCACGCTATACGTGCATCAAGATGTATGCCATAGGCTTTCCCCGTGCGCCACCTCTGACTGGAGTTTTCAGCGATCCCAGATTCCACGGCCCGCAAAGAAACAATTACATGGATTCGCAGTGAATTTGAGAGAAACCGTAACATACACGACGTGGTTCGTGGTTCGTAGACACTGCTGAAATATTTCTAGTGCTAAGTGAAAGTATCCACATCTACAGGTACTGATAGAAGATAGACTAGCAGTTGGTCGTCGTGAACTGCTGCATATTCTCCCCACGACTTCATTTCGCGCTTCACGGGGATGAATGCATAGGGGTGCGCGGATCGATGTTATGGCCATATTTTTCGAAGGAGTAGGCGCCAACACCTCGTTCCATAACCGCACTCGTAGGGAGTATCTATGTACATACATAGCTGCTATCATGCGAACACAAGGCTAGCTTCAGCATAGGTCCCTTTGGCTTCGATATTTCCCTGGATATCTGGTGTGATATGCGTTGGCGCTGGCTGAATCGTCAAACCTTAATGCGTGGTCTGCTTATCGTTTCATCCGTGGTTCCTAATATCTTGCAAGCGCATCCATCTCGCCGTTCTTCAACCAGCCGTAGCTAATATCAATGTGCTAGGGTGGTCCCTTGCTATTTGCGATTGATGTAAGGTCCGTGAATTTTGCTGCGCCTCTTTTATCCTATTGACATATAAAATCTCAGCTCCTACTCGTTTAACCAACTTTTCAGAACCTGTCTGCCCGGTCTCATTTTTATACGATGGATATCTTCATGCGAAATATCGCCTTCGCGGTGAGTTCTCGCGATCTCAAAGCGCATCTAGCCGTTGTACTGCATGGTCCAGAATTTCTTCGTCCTGGCGAAAATCCGATCAACTTTGAGGTTCGCATATTCAGGAGCCAGCAAGGACGAGGTCCTCCTGTGGGTTTCCTCACACTCCCGACAGAGGAGATTGGTGCTCGCTTTTTGAAGTTATACGGAGAGCCGGCTCCCTCCCAGACCATAACGATGGGGAGGCGGATTGTGTTCAAGCGCAGTAATAGACAATCAAACCCTGACGTACTCGACAACGTCCGTCGCCGTCCATTCGTCCATCCTAGGGAGGTCCAGGAGAGAGAGGACCGGGATGCTGAGCGCCAATCTATGTCAGCTTCGATTAAGACCATCCAGTTTGGTTGGGTCTGCCGCGACGACGTGTACTCCGTCGAATGGGAAAAACAGTGCATACATAAAGCCACTCTCGTGTACGATGAGGATGCAAGAGAATTTAGGATCAAAGCTGAGGACTTGGACGATGACGATCGTATGCCTATCACCCGTACCATTGGCTTCCGCGCCGCCCAAATGTATTGGACATCTGCAACTATAGACAATCTAGGCGATCCAGCGATTTTCTTTCATTTGAATCACCCACCGTCTTTTGAATCTGAGTCTGATACACACCTCACTCAATTATTCTCTCGGCTTGTCCTAGGACGGGAACGGCAGCCCCCCACACGCCGACGGTGGGAGTCATTTACTAATGAGCATGTATTACTTGCGCCCTTCACTTCCCTCGCCATTCGCATCATCTGCAAGAGGATGGAAGATCTTCAAACATATCGGAACTTTTGTCGTGTCGCACAGAGGAAAGTTGATGATTCTGCATATCCCATCGTGAGGCGTTCCCTGTTTGGCCAAGATACCCTCACTGTATTTTTCGCTTGGCTGTCACACCTGGAGTGGTCCGTCGCATTTCAAGTGGAGGCTCTTGCAAGAAGTCATTTAATGGACCTCAGAGAGTTGATAAGTCTACGTCCTGAAATCGAAGAAACACTTAGAGATCAGGGTGCAGGGGTCACTAGCGCAATCCTCCGTGATTTCCTGTCACGAGTGAAAGCTATATTCTGGTTCGGAGAGAAGAACCAGGAGCACCAAGATTCTGTGCAGGCCCTATTTGCTCAATCACGACGGGATTGGTCGATTTCGTCTCTTCTTCTCCAGGAGACGTCTGTTGACAATTTCAATTGCTTCCATGTCGTTGTCACTCCGACGACAATGTATCTTGAAGGGCCGTTCCCGGAACGATCGAATCGAATCATGCGCATGTATATGGCCAATCAGGACAGTTTTCTGCGGGTTTCTTTCGTGGAGGAAAACAGGCTCATGTATCGTTTCGACCGCGAACTGGATGCGCGCGATTTTGTGAACCGCAGGGTCAAGCACCTTCTGTTGAATGGTCTCACCATAGCTGGCCGTCATTTCGACTTCCTCGCGTACTCGCAATCAGCGTTGAAGGAGCATGCAGTATGGTTTGTAAAGCCGTTCAATCATACCGATCGTCGCCAGATAGATGCGGCTACTATTATCTCAGGTTTAGGCTCCTTCCATGATCTGGCATTCGACGAGCGGCTGATTTACTGTCCGGCTCGATACGCTGCGAGAATATCGCAGGCATTTACCGCCACAGACTCATCGGTCTCCGTCGAGGCTGAAGAGGTCGTACCTATTCCTGACATTTGGGACGCAACACATACCTACAGCTTTACTGATGGTGTTGGGACAATCTCTCCAGACCTTGCACAGGCTATCTGGGACGAACTTCGTGCCAAGCAGAAACGCAGCCGACATCGGACTAAACCTCGCGCCTATCAGGTGCGATTCATGGGCTCAAAAGGCATGCTGAGCGTCGACTACAGGCTGGAAAATCGTTTGGTATGCTTACGCGAATCGATGATCAAGTTTGATGCTCCCAATTCCTTGTTCATCGAGATTGCCAGAGCCTTTGACAAACCCGGGAGGTACTACCTCAACCGTCCGTTGATCATGCTTCTCGAGGGTCTTGGGGTGCCTTACAGCACATTCCAGGCCCTTCAGGATGCCGCGGTTCAGAACGCTCAGGATTCGGTCGAGTCTCTCTCGAGCTCTGCACGCTTGCTTGAAGCGCACGGGCTGGGCACTTCATTTCGCCTCACATCAACAATGCTTAGCTTACACCGCCTTGGTCTTGGACCCCTCCATGAAGATATATTTTGGCAGCAAATGATGGATTTTGCTGTCAATCATGTCCTCAGAGAGCTCAAACACCATGCGCGGATTCCCGTCCCTGATGGATGGACTTTAGTTGGCGTGGCGGACGTCCATGGATTCCTGAATGAAGGAGAGATTTTTGCATGCGTTCATCCGCAAGATTCGTCTGTGCCCATATATCTGGAGGGTCCTACTCTCATATCCCGCTCGCCGACCATTCACCCTGGTGATGTCCAGGTTGTGCACGCCATCGGCCCGCCACCGCCAGGCTCCCCATTCGAAAAAGAGCCCCTCCCGAACACTGTGGTGTTCTCCATAAAAGGTGAATTTTTACGAATTTCAGCAGTCAACTGATACCCATAAAATTATCTGGTCACTAGGCGGGCGACCTTTACCCTCCTACCTCGGTGGTGGTGATTTGGATGGTGATGTATACAACCTTACAACAATGCCTTCAATGAGGCCGCGACGAACGTATCCCCCAGCTCGGTACGATCCAGCTCCGAAGAAATTTGTTGATCACCCAAGTACAATGGCAGATGTTGCCGAATTCGTGGCAGAGTATATTATCAGTGATGTTCGTACCTCAATTGCTGCGTGTAACTTTCATCTCACGTATAACTTGATCAGACCCTGGGGATTATCGCCATTAATTGGCTCATTACGGCTGATCAAAGCGGGCTTGGAATTTTTGACCCAGATTGCCTCAAGTTGGCCCAGTTACACAGCGATGCGGTCGACTACCCGAAGAGCGGCATCCCTGTGGCTCTGGACCAAATTCCCCGGTTGAAGCGTAAATCCAAGCCTGATTGGAATGCTCCGGAAACCATCACAAAGGAGAGCACGAATTGGTACGAAAGCACCCGGGCCATTGGGCACTTATTCCGCGCAATTGAACTCCCAGCATTGCAAACTGTGAAGAGAGCGTCACGATACCAGCGCCGCCACCTGTCTAACGGAGATGAACTTAATTTGGATGACATCCTAGCAGAATTCCGTTCGGTAGAGCCCCATCGGGCCGACTACTTCCAACTCACGATAGAGCATCGCATTTCTGAGTTCATTCCTCTTCCGGAGGAAGGAGATGTCGATGAAGTGGACGAAGCAGCTATCACTAGAACATGGGAGCTTTTGAGAGCCTATGGCACTAGACTTCGAGCCATTTGCGCTGACCATACGCTTTCTCACACTCGCTCTGCTATGTTGACCGAAGAAGAAGTAGTCGTCGGTACCATCGTAGCAAATTGCGCCCAACCTCGCAAACGTAAAGATCTCATGTCACAGATGCGAGAACAAACGGCAACTCTTGTAAACAGCGTTCGGGTCGAAATATCGGGCGACGACGATACTCCCGCAGAGGAATCCCTCAGACGCGCTTGGATTGCCTACAAGGTTGCACTTATCGATCCCGACTATTTCGGAGCGCGAAGCTTCACATGGATCGCCATGGGAGAGATTTTTGACGCAATAAGAGACATCGAGGCGGAAGATCGCAAATTATTGAGGTAAAATCAGCTGCTCAGGGGTGAAGTCTCCACTCTTGCTGCTATTGTAGAGACAACTTAAGTGAGGGCTGGTTTATGACTGAGAGTGTATTTGAGGCTTGCCAAGCGATTCGACATGGATCCGATGTACAATATGATAATACAGGGGTGCTAAACTCACATGTGTAAATAACAGCCTTTACTCTATGGAAGCGAAGCTGTAAGGCACCCTTCGAGACGAAGGGCCTGATTGAATCGATAAAGGGGCCGACTACAAGACCCTGTATGCTGCGCATTGCGGAGGAGCGCGAACGTTGAAGAACATAAGGCTTATGCAGTGTTGCGAAGTACTGTGCGACAAATGAGCGACGACCGCCGATATAACCGTCAATCTAGACTTACTCAGAATCACTGAATCGCCCCTGTGAGTGAATCGTGTCAAAATGATAAGGGTATCAGATGTTCGCCAAATTACACACCGCAAGAACATCTTGCTGATGAACCTATCCTTGTTTACAGGCTTTTTGTTTTTACCCTTGGGCAGTTCTGTCCACATCTGAACGAAAGTTTGCACTACGATCAATGAGCAGTGACGATGAACATACCTCTTTTACATTTTCCAGTACCTGTAAGACCAATGTAAGCGCAGAGCAAAGGCGGAGGAGCAGGAAAGACGCGCCATGTTACTGTGCCTATCGAACGCCTTCACGCGAGCGAGAAGTTTTTTGTTGTTTCGTAGCGAGATGAGGACTTGCGTATGATTTCTGACGGCCTGCTGTAATACGGATAATGGGCCCTGGCTGATTTCGTGCTCCTCCAAAGCACGAAGCTGAGCTTCATCGAGCTCTGATTTTGGTACATGGACGTATTGACTTATAGCGTGTCAGCGATGACTGCAATTTACCGATAGATAATGCACTCACCTCATGGCGACCGAAAGCCGTTGGCGTATTTACACTTGGATGAGATCTGGAGAGAGAACGTGTTTGGGCGCCAATGAAGCGGTCGAAAAGTTTGGCGACTCGATCACCGATTGGTCCTCCGCTCACCCCAAGATCGACCAGGCTTTCAGGCAGCCTTATCTGAGTCTCCCATTTCACTCAAGACTCGCATTATATTCCGCGTACAACAGCCAGACTCTACAGAATGGGACGAATAAAGCAGAAGGGTAAGGCAGGTGCTGCCAAGGCCTATGTAACCCGTTCATCGGCTGTCAAAAAATTACAATGTTCTCTCGCGGACTTTCGACGGCTATGCATTCTTAAAGGTGTGTAATTGCATGTCCTTATGTTCTAAACAAGACTCACAAGTACATGAAGGCATCTTCCCGCGGGAGCCCCGCAGCAGGAAACGGGCGAATAAAGGATCATCTGCTCCTACGTCTTTCTATTATGTCAAGGACATTGCATACCTCGCGCATGAGCCAGTGTTGAAAAAGCTGCGAGAACACAAGGCCTTTGCAAAGAAACTCTCTCGTGCTTTGGGGAGAGGAGAATGGAGCAGTGCGCAGAGTTTGGAGGAGAACAAACCTGTCTATCGCTTAGACCACATCATCAAGGAAAGGTTAGTGACGGAGCGACCTGTCAAACCTCCGCTAGCTTATGCAGATCTTACAGATACCCAACGTTTGTCGACGCCGTTAGGGATATCGACGACGCGTTGTGCATGATCTTTCTTTTTTCATCGTTACCTTCGAATTCCCGAGTCTCCCCATCTCTCATTGAAAATTGTTCTCGACTCGCATCAGAGTGGCAGCTCTATGTTATGCACACCCACGCTTTGCGTAAAACTTTCTTGTCTATTAAGGGTGTTTATTACCAGGCCGAGGTAATGGACCAAACAGTGACATGGCTGGTACCTTATCAGTTCACACAGAACGTAAGTCGGCTGTGGATGAATGCGTCCTGAATGCTTATGCACTCCCATCTCAGATACCAACCGATGTCGATGTCCGAGTGATGCTGACGTTCCTGGAGCTCTACCAAACCCTTCTCGGGTTTGTCTTTTTCAAACTCTACACAGATGCCGGTCTCGTCTATCCTCCACCACGAGATGTGGCAAAAGATGAAACTGGGGCCGGTGTCGGTGCGTTCCGGATACAGGAAAGTACGTTGCCGCATCGCCCTATTGATGTTTCAAGAACGAAGGAGGTGGAAGTCAACGGGAAACGAGTGTCTACCAAGGATGTCAGACAAACAATCAAGAGCATCCGAGCTCCTAGCGTTACTGATGGTGACGTAGAAATGTCTACTGCCGATCCTGCTCTCGCCGAGGAAGATGAAGAGTTTGTACCCCACCCTTCGACGTCCAACCAAGAAGAAGCAGCATCTCTCCCAACGCTGAAATCCCTTGTGGTACTTCCTCAAGCTGACTCATCAAAATTATTCGCCCACCTCACGTTCTGGTTGTCACGAGAAACGTCTCGCCCCATTTTCGAATTCATCGTACGTTCATTCGGCGGTCGGATTGGTTGGCCAATGTCATCCGGGAGTGGCTCACCCTTCGAAGAGACAGAGGAGTCCATTACACACGTTATCATTGATCGCCCTGTTACCGAGGGCGTCAGCGAAAGCGAAGAGGAAAAGCAGAGGAGAAGAAGGCGTAAGTACGTGCAGCCGCAGTGGGTTGTCGATTGCATCAATGCGGGGAAGATTTTGCTTGAGGACGCTTATCTACAGGGTAAGACACTCCCACCTCATCTAAGTCCATTCGGTGACTACGCTGGCGCATACGATCCCACGGCCGAATTCACGAATGATATCGCTGCGTTGGAGGAGTCTGACCTAGAGGTCGAAGCTGACGGCGAAGAAATGGATGATGAAGTCGGCGCCGAAAGATATATCCCTCGCCCAGAGCAGGAAGCCTTGAAAGCAGCAGCAGAGGCAGATAGCGAGGCAGCCCTACGAGCAGCAGAGCTGAAGGCAGAGGCTGCTGGTGTCGACTATGGTACGTTTGAGAAGCAGGCGAAGAAGGTCAAGAAGAAGTCCAAACCGGAGGCGCAGGAGGAGGATGTCGGAGAGCAAGAGATGAACAAAATGATGATGAGCAATAAGCAACGGAAGCTGTACGAGCGAATGAAGTTTGGGGAGCGGAAAAAAGCAGCAGAGGTACGACTTCGTCTAATTTGCATCATATACACTCAGTCACATCATTATCTGATAGCGACAAACTCTCGAGACGAAGAGAAGAGGTCTCGAGAAGAGAAGACAGCGAGAAAGAACATAGTTCTTTGTGCATTGCAAGCATTCAAACTGTGTTTATTCCACTACATGTGTCTCTCTTATCCCGGTCATACGACTCGACTACATGCCTGCCTACTCGGTCTAGCTAATAGCACATTGATGAAGAAAAGATGATACACTGAAAAGAGAACTCTCAGAATAAATTTGTTATCGATGGTCTTCAACAAACACTGTACAAGGCGATGCTTCGTCAGAAAAACGGGAATCGTATCAACATGTTGCTTACCATGTGGCTATATATCGCCCGACTCCCAAGCATCCAAAAGTGAATTCATGTCAGAGACAAGTGAGTCCCATGTCGTGGGAGATATATTGAAACCTTTCTGTCGGAGTCTGCGGAGGGCAGACCAAACCCAGTTCTGGCAATTCCAATTGTAATTGTTGCGAACAACGGGAACCTCCCCCTCAAGGATGCGCTCCATGGCTGGCAGGGCATCCGCGGGAATATTGCCGACTTTGAGATCGCCCCTCCAATTGCTGTTTGTGAGAGGCGCATCAGAGAGGGTTTCGTAGAAGAAGGTGTCGATGTTCCCCGCGGCGTTATAGATCTTGCCGATGGGACGGGCGTCGGAGCCAGAGGTCCTGATTGTCAGAGCCCAGTGGAGAGGAAAGATGTTGCCGTAAGCGTCTTTGCCTCGCCACGACTGGGTGACTTGGAGCGTGTACACGCCAACGTTGGCCATTGGTCTAGATGCGATCGTCGTCAAATCAAAGTCGGATAACGGCAGCGAAGACGAAGTGCACACCCCGGGAACAGATGGTTAGACGTAATAAGGAAGGGGGTGCCGAGATATACGAGGACGGGTGGAAGTGGGAGTAGGAGCAGCAGGAGTACGGAAAGGAGAAAGCTGGGTGGGTGAGGAGGCGTTCTCCTGGTTGCTTATGAGGCGTCGGACGCAGGCCATGGCCACTGTGGCTCGTCCAAACGGGAGGACAAAGCAGAGGCCGTTTGGCGATGGAATCAATGGGCCTGCTGGCACGTGACTGGGCCGGCGCTTTGGTGATAGGGCCTGCTGCCGAATGAGGACAATGCGTCTAGCCTCTCCCACCTCACTCCTACGCCAGGCTGGATTCTCCTACGCATCGCATCCCTTCGAGTGTAGTCCGCGCTCACTCGCTTCCCAGCCTGCTGCGTCTGTGGTATGGTTGGAAAGTTTGGCCTTAGCCTTAGCAATAAGGGTTCCCCATCCCGCCAGGTCCGCGCCGACACATCCACCCCTCCCCCGCCATACCGGCAGAATGGTTATGAGGATGGTCATGAGAACCCCATTCTCGCGACAGCAACGACGACTACGACGACCCACGTCGTCACGACCACTACTCACACCACCACTCATTTCTTTTCTCTGCCTCTATGGCGGCGGCGCGGGACTGCTGCCTTTCCTACCGCAACTGCAACTCCAGTTCCGTCGCGTTTGTCTTCCGATGAGTTTGGTGTCACCAGGCCGCCCACCAAGCTAGGTCCCCCGGTTAGAGATAAAGATCTTCCCCCGACCCCATCTCCCGCCGAGGACAATATGGGTCAATCTTCCCATGTTGTTACTGGTTCGTTTCGGGAACGGTATCATGCTGGGATCTCGGCGCCAGTGGACGCTGACATACGCGGTGTGTCTCCTTCGTCTACTTTCGCACCACTCCTTCCGGGGTCATCTACCACAGGGGAATCCTCGTCTCAGCCTGCTGTCGCGCTCGCCCGCGCTGCACTGGGCATTGGGTTACCTCATGTCATGCCTGCCTCGATTTCTGCCTCATCGTCAGCTACAGACCTGCACGCGCACTCACTGAAGCCTCCTCCCATACCAACGGAAACATCCCTTCCGAAGCCTAGTATGCGGCGAGTCAAAAGCTTTCAGAAGGAGCCAGACGTTGCTGTCGAAGAGTCTAGCTCGCCTGTCGATGTACGAGAACGCAGGCGGGCGAGAGGTCTATCCCTTGGACCTTTCCATTTTGCATCTAATGTCAAAGGAAAAGAGAAGCAGTTGGATCCAGAGGCGTCCGATGAAAACTCCCCCTCGGTACCCAGGCCTTTATCCAGGAAGAGTTCATTTTGGTCGAGAAGACGAGTCGATTCTCAAGCAACTCCCCCAGTCCCTCCCTTGAATGCCGAGCCTTCACTGCGGCCGTTTATTCCAGCATTACAGCCAGTATCTCCTTTTTACGCTGACACGATAATTTCAAGCCCTCGTCCTAGACGCAATTCTTCTTCGCAGACAGTAGATTTGCGTCGACGACATTCCGAACGATCTCCTCCACCATCAAGTCCGAAATTCGAATCTATTGAAGATATGTGTCCCCCAAGGCTGTCGGTGCCTGGGCCCTCATCCCCAACCTCGTCTCGATTGCGCCGTCCTAAACGACCCAAAACAGCAGACGCTGCATCGAGTCCCCATAACTTATACTTTCCTGTTGATGTCCCACGAGTCATCACGTCCTCTCCTCCTACCGAGCAGCCTCAGCTGCAGCCAGATACCCCTGTTATTCCGGATCCACCGTCGCCATTATTTCAAATATCTCCGGCCACTCGCCCCCGCGCGCAAACTAATCCACCCCTCCTTCATCGCTTATCGATCAATCTCTTTGGGTCCTCCCCGACATCAAGTACCCCATATATCGCGCCTAATCCATTATACGACTCAGTAGTTGGCCCTGATATACTAGTGGCATCCCCATCTTCTAGTTACGAGTCATCCCGTTTATCGCTCACAAAGCGCTCGGTTGAGATTCCGAGACCGCGTGCTGACGAGGAGCCTCCGGAAGTTTACCTTCAGAGGTTAACAGAGGCTGTAAGCAAGGCTGAGGTTGCAACTGTCCTTGCGTCTAAGTAAGTATTTTTCTGGAAGTCTTGAGACAACGGTTTGAATTTTGGACAGCTCGGATCCATTCCATGCTCGCGCTTTGCGGGCGTATATAGATCGATTTGATTTCACTGGTGATCCTTTGGACGTTGCCTTGCGGCGATTGCTTATGGATGTCGGGTTACCGCGTGAAACGCAGCAAATTGACCGTGTCATGGAGGCATTCGCTGCAAGATATATGCAATGTCACCCAGACCTATTCATCTCTGACGGTACATCTATTTCCGCTTTGACTAGTCGCGTGTCCCTTGTATCTGACGTGTCCATCTCAGATCATCCTTACATTCTGGCGTTCAGTCTTATCATGTTGCACACAGACGCATTTAACAAGTCCAACAAACGGAAGATGACCAAGCCGGACTACGTGAAGAATACTCGCCTGCCTGGAGTGCCACCTGAAGTGTTGGACGTGAGCCCTTTGATTTCACTCATAAACGTGTTTGTTTATCTCTTGCCCATATGTTCACAGTGCTTTTACGATAACATCGTATTTGTACCCTTCATTTTCATCGAAGATCCTGTTGACATCAATGGCCAACGCGGTATCGTTCCTGAAGCGATTAACACGCGACGCATGTCCACCATCAATGTGCCCACTACTCCGGGCGGAGCTTCTACGCTCCTCGGTAAGAGCAATAAGATTGATCCGTATTTCCTGATTACTCGTGTAGGCGGAGCGGATCACTTTTTTTTTGACTCATATTCTGACTGACTCATATCAGAACCTGCTTGATGACCTTCGTGTCAACGTGGTATCGTTTGTGCCCTTGCAAAATCCGTACGTCTACCAGGGTACTGCAGGGCCATGGGACGAAGAAGAGCTCCTACGCGTATTCACCATGGCAGGTACCGTAGATATTGTGATTGAGAATCGTTATACTGGCTCGCCATGGTTTGCGCTTAGCGCAAATGGCGGGTCAGGCCCAACGTTACCGAATGCCCGAGGAGCATTGCCACCGCTGCTGACTTCCTACAACGAGTCGTGCTCCATCAAGGTAACCAAAGTTGGAGTGTTGTTGCGTAAAGATGATAGCGTGGAGGGTGGACGTCGTGGGACGAATCGCAAATGGCGAGAATGGTGTGTTCTCCTGACAGGATCGCAGTTATTGTTCTTTCGCGATCTGTCTTGCGCGACATCAATCCAAGCACAAATCAACCCATCAAATGAGCATTTGGTGCAGAAGCAGAACCTACCCCAACCGGATGAGTATGCCTCTGTCAAGGATGCAATTGCGGTGTTTGACAAGTCCTACACTAAGGTATGCACTTTGTCCACATGTCAAAGCTCCTCCGATAGACAACTTAGTGTGTGCAGCATCCTTACACCTTGCGCCTGGTCATGCCCGATGGCCGCCATTATCTCTTTCAAGCCTCAGACGGGAAGGAAATGAATGAATGGATTTCGCGTATCAACTACTCCAGTGCGTTCAAGACCGCTGGCGTACGCATGCGTCCATTGGGGATGTCTCGTAGAGACATTGAACTTACAGGCATCGCGGCAGCGGCATCCCACCTGCGAGAGATGCACCATCGGGCTACTCCTCACGCCCCTCCTCGAGTGCGTACATGGTATGCAGGTGGCCTGAACAACGTGGAATCACCATCAAATGATCCCTCAAGTTCACTTGGCGGCGTTTCCACACTCCCTGCTTCGGCGCCTGCAAGACAGACATCAGGTTCTTCGACCATATCTTCGTCCCAGTACGAGAGTTCTTCGAGGCTGTTCAAGGCAACATTTGACGAGGTGAAGACTGAACTTGCTTCTGGCCGATCATCTCTTCAAGAACGCCGCGAGCGTGTACGTGGGCGTCAACGCACGTACAGTCTAGAAGATGCCCCTCAGTCGTCCGTTATGTCACCATCGTCGCCCACATCGCCAAAGTCCGAGCTCCATCAGCATTCACGTCGACCTTCTCGCTCAGACATCATTCGCAGCAAAATCCACGACCTAGAAGAGCGGATCTCACTCATCCGAACCCAACTTGACACAGACATGCGATTTGTCCGCAACCTCGCCGTTCTGACACCCTTTCAGCGCTCTACTCGCGATCGCGTACAGCTAGCCGTACAAGGGGCAGCGAAACGAATCATGCAGATGCGGCTGGAGATGGAGAAGCTCGTGTGCTACAGGGATGTCTTGTCTGACGACTTGCTCGCGGAAGAGCGGGATTGGGCACAGACGAAGCGAATCGCAATGCGCGCAGCGACGGACCAGTTGGCGTTGTCAAGGCAGCATACCCAGACTCGACCAGAGCCACAGACGACGTGGAGGTTGGATGGGTTGGAGGTACCTTTAAGCACGTCGCCGAAAAGCATTCCGCGCACTACCAGCATGTCAATGAGCACTGTAGGGCATGACTCGTCGCTCGGGGATGAGTCGTTCCACTCTGCCGTGTCGAGCGTGGAGTGGCATGACTTGAGCCCGGGCTCCGCTGCCTTCTTGGACTCCAGAGGCCTGGATGAAGCACATGCGTTCGAATCTCCGAGGACATCGCCGGTCATCGAGTTGTCGAGTGCGCCCAAGGGAGAGTTTCCGTTTCCCGACGTGGCAGGACGAGGGCAAGCTAGACCGCTTGTGGCACAAGCGTCTACGGACAGTACAAGGTCCAGTGCGAATCACGACGACGAAGGTGGACACGAAAAGTTCTTCACGGCGGCTGAGACGACGGAAGAGCAAGCGGAGGAGTGGGACAAGACGCGCGCGGCGAAACGAGTGTCGTTGGTCAGATTACCGCCGGACCTACGGATTGCGGTGCTATTTGGGAAGCACGGACGCAGCGAAAGCATCTCTGAAGGAACGGCGACAGCGCCGTCGTCGCCCGACCGCAGCGGAGGGTCGGATCCATATAACCACTCGCGGGCCATTACAGAGACGTTTGCGATGTTGGACGTGTAGAGACGGACGGTTGGATTTTACATTCATTTGCATTGTCGCACTGTTTTGCATTTTTATCGCACTTGCATCTAGATAGAGTACTTTGCAGCAGATTCGACTGGATATGTTATTGTATACGAGGCTAATTCTACCGGTGTGGGATTGAGCGCCACAGACGCGTCGGGTGGCTGGACAGGGCAGGCGTCGTTGCCAGGGACGTGCGCAGCCGCGGCGGTCGCTTGCTCGCTGCACTCTCACCTCTGCCCACCGT